AGAGATTTGAATCCCAAGGAAACAAAAGATTGCTTCGATCGAGCAGGGAACAGAAGTCTGATCAACTATTTTCCTGTTACAAGAATTGAAATATAGTCCATAACGAGATTTAACTGTAACTGTATTGAATTGAAAACACATTCAAACAAGATAGGGCTATTTAAATAAAACACTTTAACGGTTTAAAACGTCTCCCCGTGACCACGGCTGCTGCAAAGCATCCGAAACGTCGGGCCGAAGTTAAAAATCATTTTCAAATAAGTTTAACTAATAGCGTTTTAAACCGTAAAAATGTTTTATTTAAATGTGTACTACTCGCGTAAACCTAGACAGTATTTAAGATATGAGTATTTTCAAGAAACTGTTTCCTTTCAACATGTTTAGTATATATGTCTTTTAGTTTTATAATAGACACTCTGGTTTGCTTGCTAGTGTCGCAATTAAATCTTTGACATTGATATATTCTTATAAAATATGACTGGCGAAACAGTTTTACCAAAGTACAATGCCTTTTATACTCGTTTTTTAATTTAAATTATTATTTAATTTTGACTTGAACAATGCAATACTGTCTGTAGTCTAAACGAGAAATCCACATTTAAATATAACACTTTAACGGTTTAAAACGCAGTGTATATTAGTAAAACTTTGCAGCAGCCATGGTCACAGTGAGACTTAACGTAAGATAAAGAGTTAGGAGAGTTAAAATAATTTCCATATAAGTTTAACTAATATACATCGCGTTTTAAACCGTTAAAGTGTTTTATTTAAGTCAACAATCCATTTATACTAATTAAATACGCAACGATCCTACTGGTTCTGGAATAATTTTCATATTTTTATACCGCGCTTTGTCGCAAAATCCCAGATTCCACAATTGACCTGCAACAGTGGAATCAGGCCAGTGCTATCTATGAGAGTACTCCGCTTCATATTAAAAATTTTCCTCATGGGAGTTATTTCAGCGTCTGAAGGCTCTTTGATGTATGAACTTTAATATCCGCCAAGTTACGAATAACTATATTATAAACTATTTCATTCGAATACTGCGGAAAACGAAAACAAAAATGAGCTTCGAGTTTATCGCAGCCCAATTTTAATCGTTCCAAAAATACAAGTGTAATCTATACGTAGACAAACCAGTTAGTAAATTTTAGGCTTTAAAAAACCACTATCAGTGGTCGAAATGGTCGAACATCGTATGATTAAAGTGGCCAATTTAGTTTTAACTTTACTCAACAATATATTATTCAATTATAAACATATTATTATAATAGTTTTTATTAAAAAAAAATTTTTACCCATAAATATAAAATTAATGTAGAATTAAAAGTTTAAAACGTAATTATTATTATATTATAAATTTACTAAATTATTTCATATAATTTATTTAAAAATTATATTCTTATTTATATTTAAATAAAACACGTTTTACGGTTTAAAACACGACCTATATTATTTAACTTATATTTAATTTACTTAACGGCCTGATGTATCGAATGTTGCCTAAGTATTAATACTATATTTTTCGCGGTTTAAACCGTTAAAAGTGCTTTATTTATAAATGAACTACTCGTGACAGGGTCTATAGTGTACGAGTTTATATTTCCAATATCGTTGTCCTTAGCTGTTTAAACACTATGGACAAACTTATAAAAAAAAACTTATTTATATTTATATAAAACACGTTTAACGTTTTAAAACGCGATCTATATTACTTAACTTCTTTTTAATTAACTTAACAACGGCCTGACGTATTAAATGCATTTATAAGTAATATATTTCGCGATTTAACCCGTTTTATTAAAATGTTTACCAGTCACGAAAATTGCAGACCTTACCTCTACACCTTTGCTGTATTATAGGTGTGAAATAAAAGTAATTATCGCGGGCGCTACAGCGTTGTAAAATCGAATATGCCACGTAAGTATGAACGAGGTTAATTAGTGAAATGCATCGGTCTGAATTACTCTGTACATCAGCCATTTTCAATGTGCACGAACTAATGAAAACGTAAATATTTCACTGTGACCGGTTATATTTTATTAAAATTGGGAGTTAGCATTATTGGAATTGCCTAGATTCGTGCACAGGTTTTCCCTATAAATATTTGTAGATTCGACGTATTATATATGAGTCCGTATATTAAAAATATATATATTTTGTAAGCTTTGTGGAGAGATGGAGAGGCGATCTTTCCACCAACAGACCTACTTCTACCGATTATAATCAATAAAGTGATTGTTATTATCTTTATTTTTTTTAAGATAAAGGAGCTTGTCTGCACGAAAACCATGTGGTGTGGTTCCTTTATGGTAGGGTAAAAACCCCAGATGTGTGACCACATATAAACCAAATAGTGAATACTTGTATGAAATCTAGTATTTGTGTGTGTACAAGATGGCCTATTTAGATAATAATTATGTGGTATGTTTGTTGGCATCAAAGTTGGTTTTACGACAATAAAACCTAATTGTTGTGATGAGTGGTTATTATTGCAGCGCTTATCTATTTTATCATGATGCCAGTTGCAATAATTCACCCTGTACATTCCGCTATATGCAAATCTATACTAATATTACAAAGCTGCAGAGTTCGTTTGTTTAAACGCGCTAATCTCAGGAACTACTGGTTCGTTTGTAAAATTATTTTTGTCTTAGTTAGAACTATTATGAAGAAAGACTTTAGGCTGTAAAACGTGACACTGCGACCAGTAGGAGCGTAGAAATAGTGTGACGGGGAAATATAATCTTTCCGTTGCGTACGCTGCGAAAACGGCTAAAAATAATCCAAAAAATATGAAGAAAAGAATAATTCCTCTTTACTTTATCTATTAAAAAATTCATGACAGTATATGTCTGTCTATTAAGATTAACTTGCTTGAACGGCACGACGGGACGACGTCGTGGCAAACAGCTATATCTCATATAGATGAGAAAGTGTGTGAAATAAAAAAACAAATATTGACGCTTAAAGTAATTATATGAAGACGGATCGCTGGCACAACAAGTATTAGTAAAACACTTTTAACGGTTTAAAACGAGAAGTTGTTTGTATACGATGTTTTTATACAAGATAGCATATATTACAAAAATGGCTTCAAAGACAACCCCAATCTCTAAATAACGAGATTATCTCATACCTAAGAAAAATCCTGCAAGGTTTTTCCTCAATTTCCTTCACATAATACTTTTAATACTTTCTTTGTTGTAATTTTCCTGAATTTTTTTCTTGTTTGGTTTAACATAAAACAACTGAAGGTATAACAAGTTAAACTATATTTTGTATTTTCTTTTCTTGCATACGCGAATGGTATACTATAAAATAAAGTACTTTTAACTGTTTAAAACGCAAAATATTTTGCCATTTGAAGTATTTCGACAAAATTTATTCCCATAAAATCGAATATTCAGGGTTAATCTTGAAATACTCATATAACTGCCACAATTTTTAGATAATTTATAGAAGGACAATTTTTAGATTATTTAAAGAAGAACAATTATTACAGTACATACTTCTTCGAGTATCCTGAACCGTTTTCGCAGTGCACGCAAAGAAAACCATCAAAGAAGAATATTTTTTCTCTTTTTATCCGTATTTCCCAGTTTTTAGCCTGATGTTTAATAGCCTTAATGTTTCCTCGAGTTAAATGGAAAAAATAATTTTTCTATTAGAAGGAGTAGTTTCTGAGATTAGCGCGTTAAAACAAACAAACAAAGGCTTCAGTTTTTTAATATTAGCATAGATAGGTTCTTAAATGACTATCTTTTGTTTGTTTACTTTTTGAAAAGTACATTGTTTTTACCTAAACAAAAGCGATCGTGAGTTTCGATCATCCTATAAAATGCAACTGGTGGTATAAATTCGCGTTTTTATTATATAGTTTTATCGTAACGTATGATATAAAATAATACACATCAACTGCACTTCGTTGGAGAATGTCACAACCCGTTTCTAGGTTACATCTTTCACATGAGATCTTGAAAAAGATTTTCAAAATTACAGTATTCAGCGAAAAGCATCTAGAAACATTTTAAAAAGAAATCCAGGCCACAATACTTAGCTGGAATAGGCCGGCCACTTTAGTTCATGTAATGCTTTAGTGAGAGTTGAAATGTGCCGCTATAAAGTCGAGTACCCTGTTGATTTTGTTCAGAACAACCCACTTACCAGACTCTCGCCTAGATAAAATTTAAGCGCGACTCAGTTCTAATTCCTTAAGGGAATTACCAAAATGCGTTGGTAGCTTTAAAAATGTATTCATAGTTTTTAATGCTTATCAATTTAAAACGCACAGTTTAAATTATGACCGTCGGGTCGCTTCAAAGCAGCATATGTGTCGAGTCGTAATTAAAATAATTTACGTCAAACCATTAAAACTCTGCACATTATGAACTTTCTTAAGTTCTTTGTTTAATTATTTTTTATTCGAGATTTTATTATATAAGTACTTAAAAAAAGTTGTTTTATTGCAAAATTATACGTTGGGAATCTTGCAAGCACCAAATCATTTCAATTCGTCTTAGCTTCTTACTCTCCCTGTCCATATCACATCTATCCTCTTGCTCATTCTTACATAACTTACATTTCATTCCACACATTCTAGAAATATTTTTAAAATATGTTTATTACTTTAAATGTGGTGGTATAGTCTAATCGGTAATTACGACTTCATCGCTATCGGGGGGCGTAGCTCAGATGGTAGAGCGCTCGCTTAGCATGCGAGAGGTACCGGGATCGATACCCGGCGCCTCCATTTTTTTTTATTTTTTTTACAGCTAATTAAATTTTTTCTGCGTTTATTTTATTTGTTAGTCAAGATATTATTTTAATTATGATTTTTAAGATATTTTTTTTAAATAAACACGTAACATAAGAAAATAAAATTTATTTTTATTTAACAATAATAAATAACAATAAACATCTTGGCTCAGGTTTTACATAGTTTAGCTTCAGACTCGGGAACAATATAAACAATTGTATATTTCTTGTGACTGATTTTAGAAAGACGGCAACCCAGTTATAGCTCTACCCAATATTAACGCGTGAATATCATGCGTTCCCTCATAAGTGTTGACAGCTTCCAGATTCATGACGTGTCTAATAATATGATATTCATCCGACACGCCGTTCCCACCGAGCATGTCCCTCGCGACTCTTGCTATCTCCAACGCCTTACCGCAATTATTCCTCTTCAACAACGAAACCATCTCATGAGCTGCCAAATTCTTATCCTTCAAGCGACCAACATGTAAACAGGCCTGCAGACCGAGGCTTATCTCCGTCATCATATCGGCCATTTTCTTCTGTATCAGCTGATTCGAAGCGAGCGGTCTCCCAAATTGTTTCCTGTCTAATGTGTACTGCCGAGCGATCCGCAAACACGTTTCTGCCGCTCCGAGAACGCCCCAAGCGATCCCGTACCGCGCATTATTGAGACATCCGAATGGCCCCCTCATTCCTACAACGTTTGGCAATAAATTCTCCTCTGGGATGGCCACTTCGTCGAGTAATATCATGCCCGTCGCTGAGGCTCTCAAGGAAAACTTACCGTTGATTTTTGGCGTATCCAAACCTTTTTTCACTTGCGCTCGCTCAACTATAAAACCCCTTACCTTGTCTTCCTCGTTCTTTGCCCATATTATGAGTACATCGGCGATCGGGGAATTCGTTATCCACGTTTTAGACCCGGATAGTATGTACGTTTTAGTTTTCGAATCGTATTTCGCTCTAGTCACCATTCCACCTGCGTCGCTGCCGAAATTCGGTTCTGTTAGTCCAAAACAACCGACTAGTTCGCCTCTGGCCATTTTCGGTAGATACTTTTGTTTCTGTTCCTCCGAACCATACATGTAAATAGCGCCCATGGCTAAACTACTTTGAACACTCATTGCTGATCTATAAGACGAGTCCACGCCGTCTAATTCTTTTGTTATCAACCCGTAAGTAACGCTGGAGACTCCGGCGCAGTCGTACCCGTTGATAGTGCAGCCCAGGATACCGAGTTGACCCATTTCCTTGTATATCTCTCTATCGAATAACTCCTTTCTATTTGCTTCTATGATTCTCGGCAACAGTTTTTCATTACAATAGGCCTTAACTGAATCACGAACTGCCTTTTCATCGTCAAGCAATTGAGTTTCCAAGTTCAAAGGATCTTCCCAATTGAAACTTACTTTGGCTTTGTTAGGGTATGTTGTCGATAGCGCTCTTACATTGTTGTAAGTGGAAGACCATACTTTCGTAAATTTATTAAGAGTTACTGCCATTATAACACGATAGCGCAAGTTTCTGTAACACTTGATCAGAAGCTGTTTAATACCCTGTTGTTATCAGTTGTTTACAAGTTTCCTTAGGAGAATATTTGCGGCGTTCACTTCCTTAGAAGTAATATTTTACACTAAACTAATGCAGCGTAAATAAGTTTGCGTTGATTTAAATAGGTAATTCAGTCTTGTTGTTGCACTATTAATAACAAAATGTTAATTTCTCGCGTTAATAACCTCACTTGTTCTTGTGACAGTAGACACTGTACTGTTTTTAACTCGGCGTGTGGCTATCTTCACGTTATCAGCTGACATAACGACGCGTAAGCGGCAAGACCAGAATAATATTGGAGGACAAAGGCATATCTAGTTATTTAATAATTCAAATTTCTCCCGCCAGGTAACAATGATTATAAGTTTTTTTGAGATAACACTTGTATACGCGATAAGAACTAGCTGTTATTGATATGTGTGATAAGACAATGAGTATTAAACAACTATGTTAATGTATGATTAAATGTAATAAAAACACGTGTTCTTTAAAAAGCTACATTTTTAAATCTCAGTGTCTGTCACTACACTAAAATATTATTTAAAGGCATTTATTTTATTCGAAATAATGCTAGGCCATTATTTTGTCTGTCTTTTTACTAAAAATCAAACAAACTTTTTTATTAATTTCAATTTAAACTTAAGTTCGTTTTGCCTGAGAGAAATTCGATAATAATTGAGACAAAACCGGGCATATAAAAAAAACGTTATTTTTGAAGTTCATTTGTTTATTTCTAATCTTGTTTTCTATATGCATGTTGCAATTTAAATAAATATCTATAGGTAGTAAATTCTTCTTCTCTTCTTTCGTGCTTTCTACAATGTATTTATTTTATTATCCAAGACTCTAATATGAAAATATTAAAGTCTTGTTCCGAGCAAAAATTAACTCCTTTGGGTAGAAATTAGTTAAACAACTCCGAGCCGTACTAGACTGCAGTTATTACATACTTTCAAACTTCCTAACAGAAACTTAGCAGGAATAAGTAGGTAAATATTACTTAATGATATTCAACTGAGGCGTTTAAAAGTTTATGCAACAATCAAGCGTAGCCATAATATTGTTACATTTTTACTAACTACTTTGTTATATTTTTCACATCAGTTAATACGTAGTTAAATAATAAGTCACAATTTCTGACAACAGAACAGAGACAAGAAAACTTTCACAAGTTAATGCATGTCTGATTAGTTGTGGCTCTATATTACAAATTTAGCTCAAATTGTAAAGCAACAAAACGGTAGGCCGTGGGTGCGAGTCCTGCCTATGTCATAAACTTTTTTTTACTATTTACTTTAAATATCATTCTTCAAAGTAACATTTAAGCAATACGTAAAAAGAGAATAGAATAAAAAGTTAGTATGTTATTTTGAATTAAGAAAAAATATATAATTTAAACTTTTCTTAATTATATTTAAATATCTTATAATCTAATAAAACGTAGGTATAGGTAATTCCTACAATTATAATAAATAGTTGGCTATATCATAAAAATAATTTAATAATAAGCTTTATAATTTTCTATACTCAATGACGGCTTATATACACAAATATATACCTCTCTAAGTACACAATCGTTTGTAAAGCTATATTAAAATCTCTTATTAAATTTAAATAAAAATAATTAACGATTTCAAACGCGAAATGTATCCGTTAAACGTATTTATTTTAATGTTTCATGGCCCGACTTCCAAATTATATTTTAACTAAGATTGACTATGACTAATAAATTTCAGGTTTAAAACTGTTAAAAGTGTTTTATTTAAACGTGTACTACTACAGACAGTCCCTACTCTAATAATTTTGAAATACTAAGATCTGTTTATTTGTTACCAAAGAAAAAATATAGCCGGCAAATTACATGTTACTAAAAAATTCGCGCTCAAAATCAGAAGGAGCAAAAAAACTTGCGGACAAATTGCAACGAGAGAGGATCCTGCGAGCGCACAGTATGTCCACTTATTTACGACCCGGAGCAAAAACCACGGCGTTATGAATGCGAAAAAGGTCCTCTACAATGTTTCATTCGTTTCTTTGTCGAGTTAAACAAAAATTTCATTTGAACCATTCTTGCTTCACGGCGCAACTGGGAGCTGCATAACGGGTATTATCTTTTCATTATAATTAAATTAATTAAATCGAATTGTTTGAGAAAATTAAGTTATAAATATTTTAGTAAAACAATATTTGTTAATATATTAATAAACATACTATAATAATAAAGAGATGAAAAAAATAAATACGTTTCATTTAGTTTCTGTCTTTATTATTTAGTTGTATAATCTGTATTGTATTTGTATGTAATTTAATATTCTACATTCTGTAGAATATAAGTTATTCTTACATCTTATCTGTAGTTAATATGAATGTCAAATATGATTTTAGCGTTTGAAATAACGAAAAAAAAATTTTCTTCTTCGATCGGATATTGCTCCTTTTAAAGTATCGGAAACTTCGAGTAAATAAATTTATTATATAAATACTGTCAGTAATTTTACGCGAGTGGTACGGTACACATTTAAATAAAATACTGCAATGATTTAAAACGAGATATATATTAGTTAAACTAATTAGAAATTTATTTTAACTACGACCCGACGTTTCGGATGGGGAGAATAACACATATCGTGTTTAAATCCGTTCAAAGTCTTTTATTATACTTTAAAAAGAAAATTACCTTTTTTCATCAAAATTTCCAATATGTTGATATTGAATGAATTGTTAGGCAACTATTTCTTAAATAAAATAAGGCATCGATGTTTTAAACCATCATAATATGTGCTCTTCTATCTAAATGTCTTATCGTTCGTTAATAATTCAACGTCAATTTGCATAACAAAGGCCACAGAGCAATGATGGTCTTGGACCTTTTATAGAGGCATCCGCCTACCTCGTAACTACGTTGGTTACTCTGTGCCCACTTTACCCTTTCGCACTTCCACGACGGGACACTCTTTAATGGGCCAGTGATTTTTCCCAGTCATATGCAAATGCCAGATTAGCATATATTTTATTCAGAGCTTCCATTACTGCCGGACAGAAACGTTGACAAAGCCAGCACTGTTTTTCTTGCTGAAAAATATGTAAATTTTAATCTAATCACACACATTGTGTTATACAATTTTGTCTATATATAAAATATTATTAAGAATATCTTTTCCATTATCTTTACATAAATCTTTAGATTTTGTTAGCCACTACATATATAGAACATACTAACATAGAATGTTCTCTAAACATACATTGGTTCGATGTTAAAAAGAAATTAACAATTATTATTTCATCTTTAAAACCGTTAAATTTATACCATTATCATTTTTACTTGCTTTATGTTTAATCTTAAATTTTCACCGACAATAATAAAAATGTTGAATGTTCCCCGAATTTCGAAGCCACTGCCTCTGAAGCTTAACGCTTCGGTTCTAGTATTAAGATGACTTGTGAATAAAGAAGTTTTATTATAAAATATCTTCACCTTCATACACCTTGTAATAATATTATTTACAACGCGTCAATGTCGCATTGCGCAACACTTGTGGCTAGGCGTATTTCCGTAAAACCATTGTCAACGCGACGGAACAGGAGGTACTCCTCAGGTACTTACATTATCTTCTATTTCTAGCTCCGGAACTACACGACAATTCCATTTATGTTTGCTGAAGGATTCGCAGTGACGATCTAAATCTGGAATGCGACTCGTAAATTCACCAATTATGTGGGCGTTTCGTTCATTCGATTTTTATCGATACGAACCTCCCGATTGTTATATATTCCTGGTACCACACTGGTGGTGGTTGTTTTCACAATATTCTTCGTAATATGGTATCCCACTCGGCAATAAGTCCCAGACTCATCGTTTTTAATAATTAGTATTCAATACACTGGCAGTATACAAAAGAAAAAACAAGTTTTCTGGTTCTGTGCTGAAAAGTTCTATTACATGAACCTACATTTCAGCAAATTTGTGGATCATTGATATCCACCAGTGATTTGGACTACCTAAAAGTAGCGATTTCTTAAGTTGGTACTACTATATAACGAACTTCTTATATTCGTGAAACAAAATTTACTCATATGAGTAAATTTGTGTGTTATATATATATATATATAATCATGAATGATATCAAGAGAGCATGGATATCAAGAGAGTTCTATAACTTTCCATATATATATTTTAAATCAAGATTGCTTAATCTTGAGGTGTTAAAAATGACAAGAGCGGAAGTCGAACCCACGACCACGGCGTTCCGTGCTGTAACTCCTACCACTTTTACTTAGTAAGCGAAAATAATTTTAATAATACTAATACTAAAATAGATTTTAGTTCACTGTATAAATTTGGACGCATTTTTTCTACAAACATAGCTCCCTGTAAAAGCTAGAATTGACATAGGGGTTTGACATTAAAATAACCATTGTTCAGGTTTCATAAGATTGCCAAGTTTTAATGTTCAGTTGTAATTGCGTTTCTTTGTTATTTAACACCTTCATCTTTCATCGGCAAAGAAACTTTCGACTTACGAAATTAATGTTTTAACAAATTTCATTTGAACCCATTACAGAAGTTCGTAATAATACGTCTCGTTTCGAACCAAGTCAAATTAACGGCAAATTCCACGAAAATGATTACGACGTTGAGATGTTAGGAAATTTCGCTTAAAAGGATTAAATAAGTAACAGGCCTTTAGTCTCGCGTTAAAATCTTGAAGTTCAGTCGACACAAAATATACTAAGTACAACATAAACTCAACATATTATGTGTGAATTAAAAATCGATTTTTAAAAAATTACGACGCCAGCATCCGCAGCGTTACGTAATTTTGCTACCGTGAAGGACAGGTTAAAAAAAATTGACGATAACTTGTCGGAGATGGTAGCTCAATTGGTTAGAAGAACAATACGTAACGCTGTGGATGCAAGTTCAAAACCCGTATCGTACTTTTTAAAATCTGGTTTAACGTAGCCTAGCATTAGGACCTCTAACATAGGAAAGAAATAGATTGTTCCGGTCAGGCAGGGCATAGGGGGCTGATCAACTACTCCCGTGTAAATAAAGACGATCAGTGAAACGAATACAAAAATGTGTTCATCCTATGCCCAATGGGGAGAGACGAGATTTTACTTCAAGCTTTTATTAGAGTGTGATATAAACGATAGTATTTTCATATAATTTAAAACAAATAACATTCTCTGAATCCAATATCTTCCTAAGGTATAATCTATACTAATAGTAATATTATAAATGCGAAAGTAACACTATCTGTCTGTCTGTCCGGCTTTAACTCCGAAACTACTGAACTGATTTAAATGAAATTTGGTACACAGATATTAGAAGAACATACTTTTTATATTATAGAAGAACATACTTTTTAATGCCAAATAAGGGTTGATAGGGGTTGAAAAAGGGAATGAAAGTTTGTACGGAAATTCGTGGTTTTTAAAGCTAGAACAAAAAAAACTTTCTTCTTTGGCTTTTTGGGAGTAGGAGTAGGAGTGAAAGTGGGAGGTAGTGTAGGAATGAGAGTGGGAGTTAGAGTAGGAGTGATGTGAGGTGAGAGTGCAAAGTAGAATGTAACACTTACCACATAGATTGGCTGCCTTAAATGCGTCCTTACATAAATTAATAAACAGCCTATATAATTAAAAATTCTACCCCAAGTCACTATTCCGCAGACGCAGGCAGTAAGTCGGGGACCACGGCTGCTCAAAGATATGCAAGTTAAAAATCATTTTAAGTTTACTAATATATGGTTTTAAACCGTTAAAGTGTTTTATTTAAATGTGTACTACCCGCGTAAACTATAGACAGTATTTAGTTAAATATATACACAAATACCCGCGATTTAAAACACCCCCGTTATACCGGGAATACTGAATAACATTACTTGAAATAAACGCAAAAATCAGAAATGTAAAATGCTCGACTTTTTGCTCATCATTCAAATTGCATCGCTGGACGGTTCATCCAATCAATATCCATGATGAAACGATGTTTTAATATTTACTGCAAACGCTATTGGTATCTCGTAATCTGTAAGAGTATACACCTCAAATACGGAAACGTTACAGTTTAAAAACGAGGATAAGAGAACACGTAAAAATATTTTTTTTTATCATAAAGACAAGTGGTTGTCCATTAATCACGTGAACTTTTTTTAGCATTTTTTAACCCCCCCTTCCCCATTGATGATACGTAGTGAGGTTTAATACCACCCTCCTTCTTAACATCACGTGTATTTTTAGTACCTACAGAGAATCTTAAAATTTTCTGTATATTATCTTAATTTAAGTACAGGTATAAACTATAATCTTATATTATTCTGAAATTAAGGACCATAATAACAATGTCTACACCAAAAATCGCAAGATTGACGAAAAAATAAATACACGAGATATCTTACTACACCCCCCCCCCCACCTTGTGTTATTTTTCGTGATTTTATCACACCCCTTTATTTACACCCCATTAGGATTTTTCAGACGAAGTCCAAGTCTATTAGTAATCCACGGTTGGCCATACATTGCTACCATTACCATAACGTGCCCGTCAAATATTTTATTGACATATAATTAATTTAACGTCATTAAAACAACATGGTGGGCTATACCCTTAAGGAGACATAAGCCCAGCAGTGGGACATAGGTTGAACAAACATTTCTTAAGTCAAGACTAGTCCAAGATTGCATTGAATAGGAAGTTGAGTTTGCAAATGATTTGTTTATCTCTCTGAAGTATCAATCATACTAATTTAAATAAATCAGTTATAACCGTTTAAAACCGTTCCAAGTGTTTATTTGATCAGTACTACTCGCGTACAACTTTAAAAACACAATTAGTATTGTATACACTTTTTATTATCATGTATTATTGTAAGTCTCCATCTTCAAGGTTGCCTGAAAGAAATCGCTTTTTAGCGATAAGGCCGCCTTTTCTCGCTACATTTTGTTAATTTTTAATAAAGTATTTTTTGTTTGATTGTTTGTTTGTACACATACGAGGAGAAGTACATATCAACTCTTATTATTTAGCAGTTGACGTTTTTAATTTCTTATTACACGCGTGACGTAGCTGGTTTATCAGTAGATAATTAATGTAACTCAATTGGTTACAGCAACAGCAAGGAACGCTGACGATGCTGCTTCATGTTCTGCCCGAGTCGAAATTTTTTTTCGATTTTTAATCTGTGACATTACACATATAGGTTACATAATTAATTATCTCTTTTTCCCCACTACTCCAGTCCCAGGCCACATTGAGACGACTATATGTCATACAGATCAATTCAACAAGCTATTTGTGTGGTACTTATAAGCGTTTGCAATTAAAACTTCGAAATTGCTCGCGTATTCAGCAAGAAATAACGTCAATGCCAGTGGGAAATGAAAATCAGTGTCGATTTATGAGAAAATACCAGCACTTCATGCGAATGTTGATGTTCCCGAATTCGTGATTAATTGCTAATAATAACAAACGGATCGCAAGTTCGATTCTCAACGGGGTTAGCTAAACGCGAGCGTTGGAAAATATGGACATTAAACGGGTGGTTGAAATTTCAAGACACCGCACACGTATCACCGTCATGGAAAGGCCGTGAGTGGTAAATTCGCGTTTTGGTTTCTGCCTGCGGATTTCCAAAAGGTAGACAGTAAAACCTCACATTCTCTCGGTTTTGTCTACCAAAGAAACATTATTTAGCTTCAACTCAGCATTTTGAGATCTTTATAACGTTGGATTACATTGCCTAAGGCATTATTGTTATTATATAATGATAAAAGTTATCTATTGATAAGCCTACGTCACGTGAATCAATTGATAATTTAATCAATATTAGGCATTATTGCTTTATCAGTTGAATACATAAAACAAATGATAATAACAGTATATTTTAAAAAGAAATTAAGTAATACAATAAAAGACAATTCTATTAAAATAATTTAATAATCAATAATAAAATCATGCAATTAGATTAAGACCAGAAAAAAGTCGATGAGATTTAAGCCTTTTTCATTTTCATCGTGTTTCTATTGCAAAATAGAAAACGCAAGAACATTAATATCATATACAGAACAATCATAAGGACGAATAATACAAACGTATATACATCAAGCATCGTATACGAAAACCAATTGAGTTCTATAGCTGGATTCTTCATATGATCAGCTCCGTTGTGCCTTATCACATATTCTAACCAAAATACAGCTGTATCCAAGGCATTCATTGGTCTATCAACGAAACGTTTGGCAACTTCTTTCGCCTTTTTCATATAAGACGGGTTTGTTAGCATCTCACTGATCAAGCTGTATAGGTTCGTCTCGGTTATGTTGTGGTAGCTTAACAATTTACCGACGCCAAGGTTTTCTAGAGTGAGGACATTGTTTAACTGATCTCCATATATGGGCACACTTATCACTGGGACGCCGTGGTAGATGGCTTCTTGTGTGCCTATAAGGCCGCCGTGTGAGATGAACACTTTAACATTTGGATGGGCTGAAAGAAATTAAATGATTTAATAGTTATTTAAGTCTACATTTTATGACATAAAATAAAAAAAAATGTTTAGCAGTTTAAGACGCGAAATGTATTCGTTATATTTTTTATTACAACATTAAACCGATATTATCAATTAAGTATATAATATGCATAAAACGTGGTGAAGTTTATTTGAAGATCATATTATAATTATGACTGATTATTAACAATATTTCCATTATTAGGGCATAAATTAGCCCCTATCATTATTAGGTTACTTAATTAATTAAATTGCAAATTACCATTTCATCAAAACCGCTAACGGTGCTATTTTGTTTAATATAACAACAACGATAACATTATCTAATCAAGTAATTAATTCAATTACTTCCTCACCCAGAATTTCATTTTGCGGCAGCCATTTACGTATTATCACGTTTTTAGGTTTATCTTCCAATTTGTCGTCCTCCCATTTCCAAATAATGGTTTGTTTGAGCCGCTTGAATACTTTGATGAACGCCTGTTTCTTTTCTTGGCTCAATTCGCAGCTTCTCACGTTTGAACCGAAATTTACGTACACCACCCCATGTACTGCGTCGTCTAAGTGCCCTTGGAGATCCTGAAATAATGTATTCGAATTTATGGTTATTTTTATCCACAAGAGCTCATGGAAAAATACAGTTTCGATTTACCTTTTTTTCGACGTACGAACATAATTATAGTCTCAACAGCACCTACGTACTCTTCAAATCTAATAGCACGACATTTTTTACTGACTACTCTTTTCTTCATTTTCATAATACCAATAAAATATATTTTATTTCCGGAAAAACAAATAAGTTTGGGTTGTAGTTAACTCGTTTTCCTGTATGTTGTGTGTGTGTGTTTTTTTTGTGTGTATGTACATATTAAATGACTATTTTGGGCTAAATGCCAATACCAGCAGAGGATGAACTAGAAATTATAATATTTAAATTATTATTAAATAAAATCTAATATTCTACCTGTGGAAGACTCTTGTTGCTATTGACGACGTGGATCCCACCAATTTCTATTATATTCGGTAAATACGCTATCGGCGAGTCAACACTAAAATGACTATTAACAAGCAATAAGGACGCATTTTTCTGCACTTCGTACAAACTTGGCATCGGGTCTGGCAGCCCCGGGATGTGCTTGTACATCAGCTCCTCTTGTTTTATCAGGAACCAGAATTTCCACCAAAACAGCTCATAAAGAGAGAAATACATGTTTCTCAGTCGACCTAGGAAGCTCGTTGGATGATGTAAATTTAATAGCTCATGTGTTATTGTGGCCCATTGCAAGGGATTCCTCGTAACGAAATTGTGTTTCATACAATTCCCGTGAGTGATAACTAAAGCTAGTGGTGCGTTATACTTCACAGCTAATGCATAGAAAGCTTCTTGGAAAAATTGCTCGTTAATAATCAAATCAAACTTAGCGTTACTTGATAGAAGGTCCTGCACCTCAGTTGATTTCAAGGCTTCCTCTGTGAGCGCTAATCCACCGGGCCAAATAATTTTGTTATGGAACTCTTCAGCGTTCAAATCGACCATTGTAAAGACATTTGGACGTTCGGTACCTGAAAATATATAGAAGAAAGATATGAAAAAATATATAGATTATATAATAACGATTAACAAGAACTACGTATATAATTGTTTGTTAAAATGTGAAAAATTATTCTTAAAATTTGTAAACATATATAAAAAATACACATTTTATTTGTAGATGTAGTATTTTATGAGAACAAAGGATACAATTTTAATTTACTGCCAGAAAATTTAAAAGTTATAATTTTGTAATTCCGTACAAAGTATGATGAAAGTACAAGTATATATTTCAAAATAATAATTCCTGATACAGGCGGGTCTCGAATCCACGAGCTATAATCATTACTGTTTATCAAACATTTCAATTATTTTACGAGAAGTCCACACTTAAATAAAACATTTTTAACAGTTAAAAAAGTGAATAATTTAAATTTTAGTATTTTTTAATATATGTCGCCCGCCCCGAAACCACGGCTGCTGCAAAGCGTGACAATAAATTAACAATAATTGAACTATTATATTTCACGTTTAAACGGTTAAAAATGAACTTCTGCATTACCACATAGAAATGTAAATATTCAAGTCGTCTTACCAAGCGCATCCCATATTTTTGTATCCTTCACCATTACTTGGTGATAATTAGGTGGATACTCTTTCTCTCTGTATGGCGTGATCACCGTTACATTATGGCCACGTCGAGCTAATTCGAAGCCAATAGGTTTTAGATTTATATAATGTGATTTCGTTGTAAAAGGTATCACCAAAAGAATATTTGCTGCATCACTGCAGAAAGGATACACCACATATAGAAAGAGAAAGAACGGGAGAACAGCCTGAAATAAATATGTTGTGAGTTGTACACAATAGGTAAAGATTACATTTTTGACTGTTTAAAACCCGATCGATATGACCGGTCTGTATGCTCGTCAGGCTAAATAATATAGTTTAAAAGCGTTCAACGCAATATATCATTATTAGAAATTCTAATTTAGAATTCTGGAAGTTTGAATCTAATACCTACTTATTTAAAGGTTCAATTAAAATAGACATAAATTTAAGATTTAATATCTTTAATAAGGGTAAAGAGGGATTGATATATATGTATAATATAATAAATAAATTTTTAATACCCATAGTCGTATTGCTGTCGTCAAACACAACAGTTTACTTCAAGGCATCGTATAAACCAAAAATGTAATACTAAGCAGTTCTAGAACAATCGACAACTCGGCACTTTGAATAGGAGTTTCAAGTGTTTTAACCGTAATAAGTACACATTTCACAACAAAATAAATCACTAAAATCTCTAATGTATAATTTACAACTTACCATAATATTATCACAGTATGCACGCACTAAATAAAGGAAACGATCATGCTTCCGTCACAGCGTTCAATAATATAAGACTAATTTGTGAGGTAGTTTACTATTTTTATAAAGACAAAAAAGTAAATACCCTTTTTTTCTATTGCAACTGAAGTGAATTTAACGCATATTAATGTAGGAAAAGATTATCGTTTTGCCAGTTGCCAAACAATTGCTCATAATTTTTTATGTAACTAATCTTATATTGTTTCATTTACGTCAATATTTCATCTTAATTCACTATCGTAAATTGTAATCTTTAATAAATTAATTAGGTAGATCTTATATAAATAGCTTTGCATTCCGCGACTATATCTTATACCAGCTATGTCACCGACTTCGTCCACGTAAAGTAGTTATTTTGAACATATATTTTTCAACAATCATCAAACCTCCACCTTATCTTTATCAATTTAAGCTTCTTTCAAGTTAAACTTAAAAGATAGACATATAGTGTCGCGGACATTTTTTAGATTCTCTAAAGAGGAATAATTCTTTCGTAAATATATTTTGGGTACTTTGAAACGTTTTCGCAGCGTATTGGAAACCCTCTATAATTAATAATTTTCCCCGTTTTTTCCACATTTCCCGCTATTTCTTATATGCTCTAACCAAGACAAATATTTTTTTCAACTCGAACCAGTAGTTCCTGAGATTAGCGCGTTCAAACTTACAACAAACTCTTCAGCTTTATATAATGGTATAGATATAAATATAACTTACAAAAACACATTAATGGGAATAAAAACCTAACGCTTTTTCATATAATTCATAAGTTTTATTTCGATATTGCTTGCGGGTGGTAACAAAATGGAGGTATTATACCAGTATTTGTTTTATTTGGCATACGAAATCAATGATATAATATTATTAATCGTGAAAATTGTGGGTGAAATGTGAAGAAGATAGACTAAAAATAATTTACGTACAGTAATTGTATACTACAACGCGTGTATTCTACCTACACTCCAAGGTTCTAATCCTATGGCTGCCAAAGTGGGTTACTTACACAGCATTAGTTAGTATAAGTCTTTCAGTTCAGGAGGAGAACTTAGTACTGACTCGAAGGGGTACCATGCTACGGAAAGAAAAAGAGATGAGCTGAGGAAGACAAACCATGCGATGGAAAGTTGACCTACCTAGGCTTGCGGCTCTCAGGAACACACACTAGTTAAAAAAAAATGAAAAATATAATAGATTGTAAATAGAAGAAGAGTCCTACACATCATCGTCGAATTTTTTCAATTTATTGATCCATGCACCTCTCGCGCACTGTAATTGAATGAAAAATATTTTTTTTCAATTTATTTTCGATTTTTAAATTATATAGTGCCTTCATGTGCAATATGTGAAAAATATTATTGTTTTCAAACGTTATAACTTTGTAATTTCATCTTCAATGATTTCTTAAGCTGCAAAGCATAAGACATTAAACCTTAGTACGCAAGTGTTAAGGTTGAAATTACACTGCGCGAGAGGTGCATGTATCAATAAGTTGAAAAAATTCGACGAATAAAAAAAGTCAAATTTGTTGAAGATATGCATTACCTTGCATTCTTCAACTAACTCATGTTTACTATTGCAATTTTTATAGACCCTCGGTGCTATCGTCTTTAATATTTTGATCTGTAAGTTGTAAATACTATTAATGTAGGTCTTGTAGGTCCTGCCGTAGTTGCTGAGTCCATACCCGATTACTGAATCGGCTAATTAATTAATTAAATATGACATGAAAAAATGACATACATTTAAGAATATAATATCTTTATTACGATTTTTTAAGCTTCTTTTTGGATTGGGTTGATTTTCCACAAAACAGATACTTAATTATTTTAAAAACAAAAAAGAGAAATGCAAATAAAATAGCCATTAAAAACATGTAAACATCGAGCATTGTGTATGCAAGCCAGCTTAATTCCATAGCGGGGCTCTTCATATATGATGCCCCATTATTTCTAATTATATATTCCAACCAAAAAATAGCCGTGTCCAACGCATTCATGGGCCTATCTTTAAATCTTCTGGAGATCTCCTTCGCTTTTGTTCTATAACCTTCATCATCTAGTACATCTCGTAGTAAAGTGTAAAGTCTTTCTTCTGAGATGTCTTTATATTTCAAGAGTTTTCCGATTCCCATATCTTGAAGTAACAGAATGTTGTTGAATTGGTCAGCGAACACTGGTATTCCTATAACCGGTACTCCGTTGTAAATTGCTTCTTGTGTTCCTATTAGACCGCCGTGTGATATAAACACCTTAATTTTGGGATGAGCTGTAACAAATTTAATTATTTTTCTCCACTCAAATCAAATAATTAGGTAAACGTTACGTTTCTTACCAAGTATCTCCTTTTGCGGTAACCATTTGCCTATCATAACGTTATCTGGCTTCCCTACTAGATCATCATCCTCCCATTTAAAAAGAACTCTTTGTTTTAAACGCTTAAACACATTAATAAAAGCCTGCTTCTTTTCATATGATAAGTCCGTACTTTGCACGTTTGAACCAAAGTTTACATATACCACCCCATACTCAGCACCATCTAAATAGTCTTGAAGATCCTAAAATCGATATATTTTTTCATAAACATTCTTATACTCTGTAAGCTTGGTAAAGTACGCTTTATTCACTAATATTTTCTTACCTTTGGTAAAATTTTGTCGCTCGTTGAAAGATGTATTCCACCTATTTCAACAATATTTGGCAAATAGGCCATGGAGGTATCCACACTAAAATGACTGTTGACAAGCATAAGGGACGCGTTCTTTTGAATATCGTACAAACTAGGTACCGGTTCTGGTAGATCTGGTATATACTTTCTCACCAATTCTTCTTGTCTTTCTAGAAACCAAAACCTCCACCAAACATATTCATATATTGAGAAATACATATTTCTTAATCTGCCAAAAAAGCTAGTAGGATCCTCCAGGCCTAACAGTTCAAAAGTTTGTATTGCCCATTGTAAGGGATTCCTTGTTAGAAAATTGTGTTTCATACAATTGCCAAAAGTTGTAACAAGCGCTAGAGGCGCGTTATATTTGTGAGCTAATACATTAAAAGCTTCCAGTGTGAGCTGCTCTCCGATGACTAAATCAAATTTTGCTTTGCTAGCCAACAAAGCTTGTACTTCTGGAGACTTTAACGCATTTTCCACTATTTGTAACGATCCACTCCATATAAAATTGTGGTAAAATTGCTCAGCAGATAGTTCCGCCATACTAAATATATTTGGTTTTTTGCCATCTGAAAAATATAATATTAAAACAATATGATAGTCTTTTATTTGCAATTTAGGATAACATTGTACTTACTATTACCCTTTTCACTATCGCTGTGTATCGTTTATGTAATCGTGGTTTTACTACAATTCCACATAATAAATGACATATTTACCAGAAACTGGCCAAAATTGTGTATTCTCCACTGTTACTTGATGATAGGTTGGTGGGTAATCAGTTTCTTTGTTAGTGGTGATGACTGTAACATTATGGCCTCTTCGAGCCAACTCTAATCCGATAGGTCTTAGAGAATAATAATGGGACTTTGTACTAAATGGTATAACGTACAGTATATTTGCAGCATAGCTGAATGTCAAGCAAAACAAAAACACAGAGATTTTAAAAATCATCTGAAACAAAATATCAATTATTTAGAACGGATATCAAAGCTTTATTGTGAAACGTATTTTTTTATAATATGAGCACTCGACGAATATTTCTCATAATTATATCATTATAAGTCAATAAAGGAATTGGCAAAACTCTGTTATTTTTTATATTTAATAACAAATATGTTCATACATATTAGCTATATAATTACACACTCACCACACTAATTTAAAAGGAACGACAGACGCGAAAAAAAGTCGTTTTACTCCGAGGGGGGGGGGGGGGGGGGGGGGGGGGGGGGGGGGGGGGGGGGGGGGGGGGGGGGGGGGGGGGGGGGGGGGGGGGGGGGGGGGGGGGGGGGGGAAAAGAAAAAAGGGGGAAGGGGGGGGGGGGGGGGGGGGGGGGGGGGGGGGGGGGGGGGGGGGGGGGGGGGGGGGGGGGGGGGGGGGGGGGGGGGGGGGGGGGGGGGGGGGGGGGGGGGGGGGGGGGGGGGGGGCCCCCCCCCCGGGGGGGGGGGGGGGGGGGGGGGGGGGGGGGGGCCCCAAAACAACCACCAACCCCCCCCCCCCCCCCCCCCGCGAGGGGGGGGGGGGGGGGGGGGGGGGGGGGGGGGGGGGGGGGGGGGGGGGGGGGGGGGGGGGGGGGGGGGGGGGGCCGGGGGGGGGGGGGGGGGGGGGGCCCCCCCCCCCCCGGACCCCCCCCCCCCCCCGGCCCGGAGGGGGGGGGGGGGGGAAGGGAAAGGGGGGGGGGGGGGGGGGGGGGGGGGGGGGGGGGGGGAAAGGGGGGGGGGGGGGGGGGGGGAAAAAGGGGGGGGGGGGGGGGGGGGGGGGGGGGGAAGGGGGGGGGGGGGGGGGGGGGGGGCCCCCCCCCACCCCCCCCAAAAAAAAGAAGGGGGGGAAAGGGGGGGGGGGGGGGGGGGGAAACCCCCAAAAAACCCAAAAAAAAAAAAAAGAAAAAGGGGGGGGGGGGGGGGGGGGGGGGGGGGGGGGGGGGGGGGGGGGGGGGGGGGGGGGGGGGGGGGGGGGGGGGGGGGGGGGGGGGGGGGGGGGGGGGGGGGGGGGGGGGGGGGGGGGGGGGGGGGGGGGGGGGCCCCCCCCCCCCCCCCGGGGCCCCCCCCCCCCGGCCCCAGCCCGGGGGGGGGGGGGGGGGGGGGGGGGGGGGGGGGGGGGGCCCCCGCCCCCCCCCCCCCGGGGGGGGGGGGGGGGGGGGGGGGGGGCCCCCCCCCCCCCCCCCCCCCCCCCCCCCCCCCCCGCCCCGGGGGGGGGGGGGGGGGGGGCCGCGCGGGGGGGGGGGGGGGGGGGGGGGGGGGGGGGGGGGGGGGGGGGGGGGGGGGGGGGGGGGGGGGGGGGGGGCCCCCCCCGGGCCCCCCCCCCCCCCCCCCCCGCCCGCGGGGGGGGGGGGGGGGGGGGGGGGGGGGGGGGGGGGGGGGGGGGGGGGGCGGGGGGGGGGGGGGGGGGGGGGGGGGGGGGGGGGGGGGGGGGGGGGCCCGGGGGGGGGGGGGGGGGGGGGGGGGGGGCCCCCCGCCGGGGGGGGGGGGGGGCGGGGGGGGGGGGCCGGGGGGGGGGGGGGGGGGGGGGGGGGGGGGGGGGGGGGGGGGGGGGGGGGGGGGGGGGGGGGGGGGGGGGGGGGGCGCCCCCCCCCCCCCCCCCCCCCCCCCCCCCCCCCCCCCCCCCCCCCCCCCCCCCCCCCCCCCCCCCCCCCGGGGGGGGGGCGGGGGGGGGGGGGGGGGGGGGGGGCCCCCCCCCCCCCCCCCCCCCCCCCCCCCCCCCCCCCCCCCCCCCCCCCGGGGGGGGGGGCGGGGGGGGGGGGGGGGGGGGGGGGGGGGGGGGGGGGGGGGGGGGGGGGGGGGGGCCCCCCCCCTGGGCTTTTTTTTTTTGAGAGGGGGGGGGGGGGGGGGGGGGGGGGGGGGGGGGGGGGGGGGGGGGGGGGGGGGGGGGGGCCCCCCCCCCCCCCCCCCCCCCCGGGGGGGGGGGGGGGGGGGGGGGGGGGGGGGGGGGGGGGGGGGGGGGGGGGGGGGGGGGGGGGGGGGGGGGGGGGGGGCCCCCCGGGGGAGGGGGGGGGGGGGGGGGGGGGGGGGGGGGGGGGGGGGGGGGGGGGGGGGGGGGGGGGGGGGGGGGGGGCGGCCGGGGGGGGGGGGGGGGGGGGGGGGGGGGGGGGGGGGGGGGGGGGGGGGGGGGGGCCCCCCCCCCCCCCCCCGGGGGGGGAAAACCCCCCCCCCGACGGGGGGGGGGGGGGGAAGGGGGGGGGGGGGGGGGGGGGGGGGCCCCCGGGGGGGGGGGGGGGCCGGGGGGGGGGGGGGGGGGCCGGGGGGGGGGGGGGGGGGGGGGGGGGGGGGGGGGGGGGGGGGGGGGGGGGGGGGGGGGGGGGGGGGGGGGGGGGGGGGGGGGGGGAGGGGGGGGTTCGCCGGGGGGGGGGGGGGGCCTTTTAAAAAAAGGGGGGGGGGGGAAGGGGGGGGGGGGGGGCCCCCCCCGGAAGGGGGGGGGGGGGGTTTTTGGGGGGGGGGGCCCCCCCCCGGGCGGGGCCCTCGGCCCTCGTTTTACTACACATACAAAATTCTAGAAACACTTTTTATCAAATATGAGTATGGAATTTTTTAAACATTTAAATTGACTTCGACGAAGGATAAGTTGTATCTGATTAATAAGATAAAAGTACGATGCACAAATTTTATCATGTCGGTATCATCTGGTCGACGACAAAGTGTAAAATAATACAACTAATGTAATTATGTTTTTTAGAATTTTTGGATCCCAATAAGGTGTTTTTTTGTTCTTCGCATACATAATTTTATTATTGGGGACCAAAACCAATGTTATGTTCGATATTAAGATCTGACAATTTATGCATTCTAATAGCTTCCATTATTAAGTTTGTCTTAATTGTCTGTTAAATGTCTGTAATTTCTCTGTTTTAATATAATGGCATAAAGATTTGGTACCTGTCGGGAGAAATTGTGTAAATACGTATACCTATTTAAAACAAGTATAATTCTGATCTTGATAAAATAAAATTGTTTTTTAGAAACTTTTATTAAAAGATTAGGTCTTTTCTATAGTTTCGTTGTCTCTCTAGAATAGAAAAGAAACCTTCATAAACAAAAAATATATATTTTTATTACGATCGTTTTATTTTCTTTTTTGTTTGGGTCGATTGTTCACAGAACGATGATTTCATCATTGATATCAATTGAGCAACAATGTATACAACTGCAGTTATGGTTATCAATAAAAATATATAAACATCGAGCATTGTGTATGCAAGCCAGCTTAATTCCATAGCGGGGCTCTTCATATATGATGCCCCATTATTTCTAATAATATATTCCAACCAAAAAATAGCCGTGTCCAACGCATTCATGGGCCTATCTTTAAATCGTCTGGAGATCTCCTTCGCTTTTGTTCTATAACCTTCATCATCTAGTACTTCTCGTAGTAAAGTGTAAAGTCTTTCTTCTGAGATGTCTTTATATTTCAAGAGTTTTCCGATTCCCATATCTTGAAGTAAAAGAATGTTGTTAAGTTGGTCTGAGAACACTGGTATTCCTATGACTGGTACTCCATTGTAAACTGCTTCTTGTGTTCCTATTAGACCACCGTGTGAAATAAATACCTTAATTTTTGGATGAGCTGTAACAAATTTAATTATTTTTTCTCTACTCAATCTTCCAAATCAAATATAAATGTTATATTTCTTACCAAGTATCTCCTTTTGCGGTAACCACTTGCTTATCAAAACGTTATCTGGCTTTCCTACTAGTTCATCTTCTTCCCATTTAAACAGAACTCTTTGTTTCAAACGTTTAAAAACATTAATGAATGCTGTTTTTTTGTCGTTTGATAAATCGGTACTCCGTACATTAGAACCGAAGTTAATATATACCACTCCATAGTCAGCACCATCCAAATAGTCTTGGAGATCCTAAAATTTATATCTCTGATATGAAAACGCTTTTGAATTATAAATATGATAATTGTAATTGCATAATATATACGTATACCTTTGGTAAACTCTTGTCACTTTTTGTAAGATGTATTCCCCCTATTTCAATAATATTTGGTAAATAAGCCATAGGAGTATCCACACTAAAATGGCTGTTTACAAGCATTAGGGATGTGTTTCTTTGTATATCATACAAACTTGGGACAGGTTCTGGTAAACCTGGTATGTATTTTCTTACCAATTCTTCTTGTTCCTCGAGGAACGAAAACCTCCACCATACATATTCGTATATCGAGAAGTACATATTTCTTAATCTGCCAAAGAAACTTGTCGGATTTTCAACGTCTAACAGTTCGAAAGTTTCTGTTGCCCACTGTAAAGGATTCCTTGTTAAGAAATTATGTCTCATGCAATTACCAAAAGTGGTGACAAGAGCTAAAGGGGCATTGTATTTGTGAGCTAATACATTAAAAGCTTCTTGCATAAACTGTTCCCCTATGACAAGATCAAATTTCCCATCGCGGGCAAGAAAAGCCTGAACTTCGGGAGACTTAAGCGCGTTTTCCACGAGAATCAAGGAACCAGGCCATATATACTTCTGATAAAATTGTTCTGCAGAGAGTTCCGTTATGCTAAACACGTTTGGTCTACCGCCACCTAGAATATATATACAGGATTAGAAATAAATTTATAAGAAATTTATATTTTATACCTTAGAAAGGCCTGCTAGACGAAGTATGTAAGTTATTATTACCAAGGACTTCCCATATTTTAGTGTCCTCGACCATCACTTGATGATATGTTGGTGGGTAATCTGTTTCTTTGTTAGCGGTGATAACTGTAACATTGTGACCTCGTCGAGCTAGTTCCAATCCGATAGGTCTTAGAGAATAATAATGAGATTTGGCACTATATGGTAGTAGAATAAGAATATTGGCAGCATTACTGTATGTAAAGTATAATAAAAATAAGAATATTTTAAAGATAATCTGTAAAAAAAAACTAATTTAAATAATGTGAGTCTTTGTATTTTAAATCACATCAAATAAAATCTTGATTACCGCACTGATTATTTGTGATATTTTACATTTAATGAAAATTTTCAGTTAGTCAATCTCTTTGAAGCCTCAGTGTGATTATTAAAAAACAATAAGACAAATCATTTCAACTGCTAAAGGGATGCATAAACGTATACAGAAGATAGTATTAGTACACTTACCATAGTAGATTTTATAGACCACAATTTGTATTAATACGAATGATATAATAGTTTAAAAAAAAAGCAAAACACGACGTTGGATAAATGGACGTGCCAGTTTTTTTAGGCCTGATTTATTTGCTCAAATAGTAGATGACCTCGATGAATGACTCGTTCTAACCGACTAGTATGATTAGACGTATCAATTTTATCTCGCATAGTATCGTCTGCAACGAGACGCGTGAAAACCTTATCATTGTAATGGTGTTAATATAAAAACTGATTCAAGATTTCTAACAATTTTGAAAGAAGGAAAAACAACGCGATTACCTCAGAAGAGCACGAATATGTCATATCAAAATATATAGCACAGATCAGGACCTATTTTTGTTTACAAGTATCACATCGACAGAGAGTGGCTCTTTCTTTATATATATTTCATTTGAAAAACAACTGGAAGTATGTCCAAAACCAATGAACAGTGTTAGGTATTGTGAACAAAATTAACGTATTGTTAGGATAGCAAAGGTCTGGGTAATATTGTGTAAACGATAATTATGATTGTTTACCTCTTATAAATTGACTTAACAGTTCCTAGTTTTAAAAGTTGCCTTTAAAATAAGCGTAAACTAAATAAAAAAGATAGAAAAAGGAAATCAGATAATTACACACACTAAAAATTATCTTTACAATAAAGGGGAAATATTCTTATAAATTGCACAAAAAAACTAAGATTTGCAGCAACTTGTATATCATCTTAATAGAAATAATCCTGTAATAGATTTGGTGCCAAAAATTTATTTTATTGCATCACAATATTTATAAATGGCAGTTTATTAAAAGCATAATATTCACAGCGTTTTAATTATTTAAGTTTTTTATGTTTTATAGATATAGAATATTTAAATAGACTAGTTATGTATATCAGCAAATAAAAGATAGCTCCAATAGTTCCTATCGTAGCTATCGCTAATAAAACGTATATATCTAGCAAAGTATACTCCGTCCACGTCAATTCTCTTGCAGGATTTTTAATGAAATCGGCTCCCTTATAACGTATTACGTACTCTAGCCAGTACATAGCGGAATCGAGAGCATTCAGGGGTCTATCCTTAAATCTTTTTGATACCTCTTTCGCTTTTATCAAATAGGTTTCATTGTTAATGACCTCACTAATAACAATTTCTAGTCTGTTTTCGTTGATATCGTGAAACTGTAGGATCTTTCCAAAACCAATCTGTTCCGCCAGTAGTAAATTGTTGAACTGGTCTGCGTAAATTGGTACACCTATAATTGGTATTCCGTTGTTCATCGCTTCTTGTGTACCTATGAGTCCACCATGAGAGATAAATAGTTTTATTTTGGGATGAGCTGAAAAAGAGTTTGTAACTTATTATAGACACATTTAACTAAATGTAACAATACCATCTTTGCCTACTTTATTTTGTTAGGCATTTAAAAGACTAATGTAAAAAAATACGCCTACGATATATTTTCCGGGTCATTTTTAATAACTCATTATTTCATTTTGAAAATATACTTAGATCATTTAAATAAACACTTTTAGCATTTTAAAGCGTAAATATTAGCAATTTTTTACGACGGCTCGACGTTTCGGATGCTTTACAGCAGCTGTGGTGACGGGTTGGATTGAAGATGGAGGGTGTTCGTAATGTAAAAGTCAAATCTGCTACGCTAGCGCTACCTGTTCGGTAGTGACTATTTGGAGTAAACTTGTTGTAAAAAGTAAGTATATATATTCCGTGGTTGAAACCGTTAAAAGTGTTTTATCTAAATGTGCACTACTCGCGTAAAGTACAGACTAAACTAAACTCAGTTTATATTATTATACTCATTACCTTATAAATGCTAAGAAATTATAAGTATTAATAAACGACGGAACTTATGTATTATAACGCATATTATATAAGAAATACATATATATACAATTTCAGTGCTAAAGTACTCGTATTCATAAAACCTAATTATTCATATTTTTTCAATGATTATGCGTGATAAATTATTTTTCGCGTCTATTTAAAATTAACGTTATTAAATTATTATTTAAATAGGATTTCCTTATCTAAATACCTACCCAAGATTTCTTTTTGAGGGAGCCACGATCTCGTTATCACATTATGAGGTTTTTCCTTCAAACTTTCGTCCTCCCATTTCCATAAAACTGTTTGCTTTAATTTCCTAAACACTTTAAGAAAGGCGTCTCTTTTTTCCACAGGCAGCTCGGCACTTCTTACGTTAGATCCAAAATTTATATAAACCACTCCATGCTCAGATGCATCTAATAGCGCCTTGAGATCCTGAAATAAATTAAAAATAAAATATGTGTGATATACGTCCTTTAGTAATCTGATGCTGACCTGTTCTAAAAATTTTTAGAATTTGCTCATGGCCTCTCAAGCCTTTCAGGCGGTGTTTAAAACTCTAATGAACTACTTGCGTGTAGTGTAATAACATCTATAAGTGGAACAGATTTAGAAATATCTTAAATCTAACGTCATATGAGGGAACCGAGATTTCAGTATATAATTTATATGACTTTTATTTCTAACTAGGAGGTAAAATGCATAGATTTTATAATCTCTGCAGTAAGTAGAATTGATGTCGTGAAAAAAGCTCAATTTGTTTCGTTAGAGATTATAATAAAATTTTTATTTACCTCAGGTAGTTTTTGTTCTATTTTTGTGAGATGTATACCACCAATTTCGATAATATTAGGCAAGTACGAGACAGGAACATCATAACTGAAATGACTATTCACGAGCATCAAAGATGTGTTCCTTTGAATATCATACAAACTGGGTACAGGTTGGGGTAAATCTGGTATATACTTCTTCACCATCTCCTCTTGTTTCTCCAAGTACCAGTATTTCCACCATACAAACTCATACACGGTGAAATAGAGGTTCCTCAATCTGCCGAAGAAACTCATTGGTTCTTTGAGGTCCAGAAATTCAGATATACTTGTTGCAAGCTGTAAAGGATTTCGAACGAGAATATTGTGTCTCATACAATTTCCGAAAGTTGTAACCAAAGCGAGAGGAGCATTGTATTTATGCGCAAGCACATATAACGCTTCCTGAAAGAATTGCTCGCAAATTACTAAGTCGAACTGGACATCTGTCTTCAGAAATCGTTGCACTTCCGTGGAATTCAACGTGACTTCCGTAAATGCAGTTCCACCGGTCCATAAGATTTTTTCGTGAAAATTTTCAGCCGATAACTGAACCATTGAGAACACATTCGGTCTTTCGCCTCCTGCAAAAATATAAGTCTTGTATCACGTTATTTAGTATTGAGTTATTTATGGCTAATAATATCGGCGACAGTTGTACAATTAAATATATACTCGATAAACAAAAGTCTAATTAAAGTCTTTATTAATTAAAGCATTTATAATTTTCACCTTAACAAAAGTTATTTAGCTAGTTAAATACAAGCAAATTATTATAGATGTACAGGATTATCTTGGTAACAGTATTCTAAAACGACGCTTCAAAAACAAGCTGTATTTGAAACATAAACTCACCTATGACATCCCAAATTTTCTTATCATCAACCATAACTTCATGATAGTTTGGTGGAGGATCCTTCTCTCTGTTTGCGGTGATGACAGTTACATTGTGGCCTCTTCGAGCTAGTTCTAAGCCGATTGGTCTCAGCATGATGTAGTGTGATTTAGACGTAAATGGTATCACATACAGGATATTAGCACCCTCGCTACATTTCGTCAAAATAACCAAAAACAGTGCAGCTATGTTCCAAATCTAAAGAAAATACAAAGATAACAAGATCATTCAACAGTTTAAAACGCGAAATATATTAGTAAACTTCCGATGCTTAATAGCAGCTACGGCCATGGGGAATTGAAGATGGAGGACACACTCGGATTCACACCCTCTAGCAGATTTCTGTTTGATAATAGTATCAAAGACAAAGGAGGACTATTCAGACAAAGAAGGACTGTTATTTACACTTAAATATATTCTTTTTGATTTAATTAATATAATTGAAATTATTACTTAATGTATCTTATTTATTAAAATGAAGAAAATCAAATTTACCATTGTAATTTTTTAACCAGTAAATAACACGTAAGATCTATAATTACAAGTCTTTAACATAATCAAAGGACACAAGCGCACACAGGAACGATAACAAATATTTTCAAATATCTCGTACGAACTGTTTTGAACGTTTAGGATACTGGGAGTTTTAATATCTGTCCACAGTATAAATATGAAGTAAAATAACCTTGAAAAATAAAATACGCATCTCAAACAGCGGTCCTCTCGCCATGAAAAGCAAAAAATATGTTCATAATTCCCGTGCAAATGATATCTACTTAACAAATTAAACGTAATTATATAATTATTTGAACCTATAATCATAAAGAAGCTATTAGACTAATCTATCTATTTTTTATCATATACTTAGAAATTAAAAAGATAAATTCGCATTCGTTGTAATAGTGTACTAATGTATAATTTCTTCTTGAACTATATCAAAAGCTTTTTTTAAACTCTTTACTAATTCTTTTTCTAGTTTCTGAGATACGTGTGTGTGGATTCCGAAATTTTCATAACCAAAAAAAAAGTCAACGGCCCATCTTAATTAGATGTTTTATGGCTTTCTCTTCTCTTCTGTCATAAAAAGGTAAACGATAACATTTGACGACGACTTACTTTTAAATGGACCTAGTTCTTTTTTAATATCTGTTACTTTAACGTGGGTACATAATTCATTAAAATAATTTCATAATATACTAGGCATATGTGATATATTTGGGTTATGATCGCTACATAATGTGAATCTAAAACAGGGCTTTATAAATAGGATTGTCGTTTGTTTTACTATAGTAAAATTTTCATGGATGATTTTTATTGTCGTACCATTCTAGTAAGAATCTAAGAGTTCCAATGTAAATATGTTTTTATTAACAAAGGAGATTAAAAATATTTTTATTTTACAACTAATAAAGATAAGTAATAAAAAAGCTTTTTTTCACTACTTTTACACTCAATAGAGACTATTGCGGAATTCTCAGATCACATCTCTATAAAACAGTTTTACGGTTTAAAACGCGATATATATTAGTTAAGCTTATTTGAAAACTATTTCAACTACGGCCTCGCGTTTTGGATGCTTTGTGGCAGCCATGGTCACCCTGTGATATTTTTAAGTTTAACTAATATGTAATATAACGTTTTAAACCGTTAAAGTGTTTTATTGAAATGTGTGCTACACGTGTAAATTACAGACAGTACCATGTAGGTAAAAAAGTGTTCACGATTATTAATATCAACTCAAATGGGACAAAAAAATTATGCAAATTTACAGCCCAAAAAAAACTGGCTTAAGGTGTATATTTGGATAAAGTTGATTTCTATTTATATCTTCAGAGTTCAAACAAGTTTCAATCGTAACAAATACAAATTTATTTATAAAACTCAATTTTGGCGAAACGAGATGTAACATCAATATCAGACAAATAAGTTTATCAAGCGACAATTCGTTAATCTTTCTTCATTTTGTTTTCATCCATTTTCATAGATATTGTCGCCCTTATAAGTATTATAAATACTTTATATATTAAGTAAATTAATGTTATTATTGTAATTAAAATACAAACGTAAACATCTAACATGTTATATACGATCCAATGCATATTCACAGTAGGACTCTTAATAAAATTTGCACCGTTATTTCGAATGACAAACTCTATCCAAAAAATCGCTGTGTCTAGAGGATTCAAAGGTCTATCTTTAAACCTTCTAGATATTTCTTTTGCCTTCCTCATATAAGATGCATTGTATAACATCTCGTTAACTGCCGTCTCTACGTTAACTTCATTGATGTCGTAGTAATTTAGAATTTTTCCGAAACCAGCTTCTTCTGTTATAAGTAAATTGTTATATTGATCGCCATATATTGGTACACCGATTATGGGAACGCCGAAAACGATCGCTTCTTGTGTGCTCATTATTCCACCGTGTCCGAAAAATAGTTTTATATTAGGATGGGCTGAAATTTAAAAAATGCGGTTAGTACAAAAAAATAGCAAAATTACATTGCGGCGACATGTCTAAAATCTTTAAGCACGAAACAAAAATTAGGTACTAAATATCTAAAAATCAAAAATGAAGAGATTTAATCATAAACGACATTTAATAGGTCTTGAACCATAATGTTATGTAAGCATATCAAAATAGTATAGAGATACCAAATAGCTAAAAAATTGTTATTTATCTAACCAATTGCTAACTTCCTTACAGATAATGAAAACAACAGTCTGGGTGACGACATAGTATTTGGTATCGTTTAGTTATTTAAAACGTGTAATTACAATAAACATTACATACTGTCTATAGTTTACGCTAGTAGTACACATTTAAATAAAACACTTTAACGGATTAAAACGCGATATATTAGTTAAACTAATTTGAAAATGATTTTTAACTTCGCCCCGTCGTTTCGGGTGCTTTGCAGCAGCCGTGGTCACGGGGAGACTACGTCGGGCCGAAGTTAAAAATCATTTCCAAATAAGTTTAACTAATATATCGCGTTTTAAACCGTTAAAGTGTTTTATTTAATCATTACATACATTAGACCTACAGTAACGGACCTCTATATGTACATATATTAAAATGGAATATGTAATTTAAATTAAACACCATAACGTCATGTGGTCACCATGACTGCTGCCAACCATCCGAAACGTCGGGCCGTAGTTAATATAATTTTCAAATAAGTTTACCTTATATATTATATTGCGTTTTAAACCGTTAAGGTGTTTTGTTTACAGTATTTTATAATATATAATTTTAAGTCTATGCCAGTCTCCAACGTTTATATGCCTAGTGTTCGCTATTGACTTATATAAATGACGATGCGGATTTGAGACCTCACCTAAAATTTTACGCTGTGGGAACCATTTTCTTACAACAACATTTGGTATCATTTTTGTGTTGATGTCATCCTCAAATTTCCAAAGGACTGTAATATTCAGTCGGTTGAACACATTTAAGAAAGCGTTCTTCTTTTCGGGGGGCAATTCTGAACTTTTGACATTCGTGCCGAAATTTATGTATAAAACTCCATTGATGGATTCGTCTAGAATTTTTTCTATGTCCTAAAAATAAAAAGCTCTCTATAGATTTAAATATACATATTTGGTGGTCATCGGGACATATCATAAAGTGCTACATTATATATAAAGTCCCACATTTGTATGTATGACACATTGAACACAACATAGTATAATCCATACTAATATATAAATTTGAAGAGTTTGTTTGTTTGCTTGAACGCGCTAATCTCAAGAACTACAAGTTCTAATTGTTTTTTTTTGTGTTAGTTAGAACATTTATCAAGGAAGGCTAAAAAACATCGCTCTGTGACACAGCTAGTAATTAACATGTTCTATAAGTGTATTTAATAATTATCTTTGTCGCTTGCGTAATATATAGAATTACTAATTCCAATTCTCTTTAGCTTCCTTTTATTATTATTTCAAGATTACAGTATTAGCTGTCTTTTTATTTAAATAATATAAAAATAAACTTATTAAATTATGCCCACGACTTTTTACCTGTTTTGTTTTTATTTACGTTACAGTAGATCTATAGAAATCGTGCTAAAAAACTAAAAGTCGTAACTAGCCACCTACAGTCCAAACTAATATTGTATATAAAAAAGACATCTTTAACTTTTAGGTATGTTGGGAAAATTTGCATAATTATATTGTGCAGTAATATTGTAGTATTCTTTACTTTTTTTAACATTAGAATATAAATAAAATTATATTTAAATGTAAAAAAAAACATTTTTAAGTTATACCGCTTCTTAGTAGTGGAACGGTGCCTGTTGACATTGTTGAAATGTTGGATAATGATAAGTGTCGTCTGATAGCTAATTGTTAAACACATTTAAACTATATTTCAAGCCTTTAAGATAGCTAAAGCAGTTTCAACCTAAATGGATCATATTAGGTTAAATAATTTTTTTTAGAAATGTTTCAAATGCCCAATGTATATTAAAAACTGATCTGAATCGACTACGTATTTGTAAATAAGAATCAATATATCGGACACATAATATGTGTCTAACCACTGGCAAAGTTGGCAAGCTTTGTACTTACTTTTGGAATAGATTCAGCCTCCGGTGTGGCATGTAGCCCTCCTATTTCAATAATATTAGGCAAAAGGGCCATTGGAGAATCGAAACTGAAATGGCTATTAATCAGGAACAACGATGCATCCTGATGCATTTCATATAAACTCGGCATCGATGGAGGCAAGTTCTTTATAAATGCCCTCGCGATAGACTCCTGCTCCTTCAAATACCAGAATCTCCACCAAAAATACTCATACAATGATACGTATAGATTTTCCAGTCTCCCAATGAAACTTGATGGGTTCTCAACAGAAATAAACTCATGTAGAACGGTAGCAAGTTGTAATGGATTGCCCACAGCTATGTTATGTCTCATACAATTCCCAAAAGCGGATACAAGAACTAAGGGTGCATTATATTTATATGCTAAAGTGTACATAGCTTCCTGGACGAAGGTCTCGCTAATGACAAGATCGAAAGTATTGTCTTTACTAAGAAATTCTTGAACTTGCGAAGAGTTCAGTATGTGCTTCGTAAAAGGAAGCCCACCTTGCCATAGAATAGCGTTTATCATCTCGTGGGTCTTCAATTTTATTGTTTCAAAGACGTTCGGCCTTCCTGTGCCTGTAATTACAGATAACTATTACATAAATGTATATAAACTATGTTGACAGAAATATAGACTATATTTCTGTCGATTGTTATTCTTGTTGACTTATGCAACTGGCTAGAAACAAAAAAACATTATTTCTTTGCGTTCTGATGACGTTTGAAAACAATTTCCAGCGATAATAAATAACAAGTGGTATTAATTACTACGAAGTAAGTGCAGCTTCTTATTTTTTGCATGAATACCAATTATAGTAAATAAGTAACTTATAAGAGTTTTATTACTTACCTATCAAGTCCCATAATTCTTTCCTCTCTATAACAATTTTGTGGTAATTCTTTGGTGGATTTGGGACATCAAAGGATGTTATAACCGTTACATTGTGGCCTCTCTTAGCTAATTCCAAACCAATGGGACGGAAAAAGATATCGTGGGATTTTGATGGGAAAGGCACAATATATAGTATGTTAGCTGCCTCGCAGTACGCTATGTATATTAAAATAATATTCATAGTTCTCTAAAATAAATAAGGTCTGAGGTATGAGTATGTCGCAGTAACGAAAATGGTATAAAATTATTGTTTGCTTCTATTTATTTTGCGAGGAATTAGAAATATAAAAGAAACTAGGTTTATGTAATACTTCATCTAATTAAATAATTACTTGAAATTGGTTTGTTATTTGAGTTTATAATACATCTAGATATTACCTGATCCATTTTATTGTTTATTGTCACTACTAACTAACTATACAAATACAATTATAAACTATGGACTGAAGAACTAATGTTAATTGCACAGAGAACAAACCAATACTGAATCACAGAGAAACACCGTTGATATTAAATATGACGATATTTTATTATTAAAATACTAAATGTCTGTCTGTATGTTGGTTGAATGGTATATTTTATGGACACTTCATATAGAGATTTGCGTCTATTATATTTTTATAAATATGTAGGTATACCAATATAATAAATTGTGATATATATATTTGCTGCTTGCTTTTGTTAATTACTAAAAACTGTTGCTCATTGCTGTAAGCCTGACACTAACATTTTAACATAACATTTTTTTGATTCGTCGACATTAATTACAACTATATATTTCGTTAATATGTATATTTACGTCATTTGAAAGAAAATAATGCAATGAGTTCAGAAAACAACGGTTGCCTGCTCTTAGTTACCACACAACCTTAGGCTTGCCTGGTATGAATTTGTTGAAAATCTAGACGACGTTATCTCCCACCAATCTACATTGGTGAAGCATGGTGGGTCTTGGGAACCTGTGTTCATCAGCCAGGTTGACCACTACTCATTAAACCTCCAAGGGACTTCAGGTGATTTGACGTGGTTCTTTAGTTACAGCCTAGTCGTTAAGAAGGGAACTGTTACTAATGGGGTTCTTTTTTGACCCTGGAGGTATAAACCCTACAAAAAACGTGACTAAAACGACGCACTTACTGATAAAAGCATACCTGAATTTAACGCTCTTTTTTTAAACTCGCTTAAAAATCCGGTTTTGGTTATGTCACTAGGTTAAACAGGATACAATTAATAATTAATGAATTAACAAGTTAATTAGATGTCACATTAAGTACAAGCTATTTTACCCACTAGTAAGTTATATAAGTACCTAAGTGTTATGCAACGTCCTTAGCTGGTACAATTAAAAAATATATATGGGAAAAAGGTATTTGAAAAATAAAATAAGTAATTTAATTAAAATTAAAACAATAATTCATTATTTCAATTTCTTATCCATCCGTAATCGTACAACAACCCTTGATTGCGACAATTTAGCTAAAACACTTATTACCTTATACAAGAGGTACATGGATGCAAGTAATAGTATCAAAATAAAAATGTACACATCTAACATGTTATAGACAAGCCAATGCATATCGAATCCTGAACTCTTCATATGATGTGCGCCATCATTTCTTAAGACATATTCTATCCAAAAAAGTGCTGTTTCCGCAGGATTCATCGGTCTATCCTTAAACCTTTTCGACACGGCTTTAGCTTTATTCATATAATCGTTGTTTTGAAGAATATCGTTGATAGCATTGTCCAGTGATTCTTCGTTAATATCGCGGTACTTCAGTATCTTTCCGAAACCAATTTCTTGAGCGAGCAATAAATTATTGTACTGATCAGCATATATTGGTATGCCAAGGATTGGCACTCCGTGAAAAACTGCTTCCTGCGTACTCATTAAACCTCCGTGACCGATAAACAGCTTAATATTTGAATGAGCTAAAATTGTTGAAAGTTATTGGTAATGATAAGAAACAGGGACAGTTTACACACAGTTTTGTCTTTTATGTTGGTACGAAATGTGATATAACTGTATTTCGAATTTAATGAATATTTATTTGATTGAATTATTCACTTTATTATCGGTCTTTTCAAAAGAAAGTGAAAACGTATATTTCCATCTTACGTAGTATACAAATTCTATTATTGGTTTATTTTTAAATTTGTCATGAAAGTTTTTTTAATGAAAATGCAAAAATCATGTAGGAAGTAATATTGTAAAAAATAACGGTATAAGCTTTAAAATTAATTCGTTACAAATCGAAATAGACCCTAAAGAAGACTTGTTTTACGGACATTGAAGTAATTCTTTGTATTATTTCCTGATTATATAGGCTGAAATGAGGTAAAACTTTTATACTTACACAAGATTTTGTTCTGTGGAAACCATTTCCTCGTTGCAACATTGAGGGGCATGTCTTGTGTATTGTTGTCTTCCCATTTCCATAGCACTGTTTTATTTAGTCTTCCAAAAACGGTAAGAAAAACCTTCCTTTTGGATGGGGGCAGCTCAGAACTTCTTATGTTAGAACCGAAGTTTACGTAAACGACGCCATCTTTAGAATCGTTCAATATTTTTTCTATGTCCTGTAAAAATGCTAGTTTTGCTTTTGATGGGGATTTTTCTATTAACGAGTATTAGAAATCACTTATAGAAGCCCTTATAATATTAGATAATCAGATTTATACCCCCTCTCTCCTAATGATATAAAATATAGTGTTGGTAAGTACTACTCAATTAGCTTTATGGCGAAAGTAACGTTGCTGACAAACGTAATACAAAATCAGTCGTAATATAAAAGAGAAATATAAAAGCAATTACCCGTGGTATAGATCTATCGTCAGAGTGAGTGTGGATGCCTCCAATTTCAATAATGTTCGGCAAATACGGCACAGAGCTATCAAAGCTGAAATGACTGTTGATTAAAAAAAGCGATGCATTCCTTTGCATTTCGTACAAACTAGGTACCGGCTGGGCTAAATTGGGAATATATTTCCTCACCAGTTCCTCTTGTTTATACAAATACCAGAATCTCCACCAAAAAAATTCGTAAAGTGACGTATACAAGTTTTCTAGTCTTCCTAGAAAACTTGTAGGATCTTCAACTGCTAGAAATTCGTATAAAGTTGTTGCTAATTGTAAAGGATTTCCAACAGCTAAATTATGTCTCATACAATTCCCAAAAGCTGTAACCAGAACCAGAGGAGCGCTGTATTTATGCGCTAGCGCATATAAAGCTTCTTGAATTAACGCCTCACAGATTACTAAATCAAATTTGTTGTTTTTAGATAGAAATTGCTGGAATTCAGTAGAGTTCAAAATATTTTCTGTATACGCTAATCCACCAACCCATAATACCTTGTTTATAAATTCTATCGCTGTCATTTCATTTGAATCGTAAACATTGGGCCTCTTTGTACCTGCAATAAATGATTTTTAACTACGCATACGCGTTTCCAATTTTTGGAATTTCTGGGTAAACACATTTCTATGTCTGTTTCAAATTCAAATTTCTAAATGTAGTTTTTAGTAGATCTGACTTTAACGGCCTGGCGACCTAAACTATTATGTTTTCCAGGGAGATCCAGGTTTTTACACGCTTAATGCAATGCTAGCAAAATTACGTAAAAAAGTAACTGTCTAAAAAATATGATAAGGCCACGTTTCTTCAAACGAAATAACGATACATACTATAAGTATATCTGGTTACTATACATAAATAAATATATTTATCATTACTGATCCTATTAACCTTTTAATGTAGATAAATTACACTACTATTTCATATATTAATTAACGTCGCGGATGATTTAAACTACTTTTAAATATTTCCGTATAAAGAGTATAAAACAATGTTTAATATAAAATTCTGCAGTCCAAAATCATTTTTAACTTGTAACTTTTTTTTAACTATATATTTCTTACCCATATATTCCCACATTCCTTTAACTTCGATGACAATTTGATTGTAATTTCTTGGTGGATTAAGATCCTGACTTGACGTTAAAACTGTTACATTATGTCCCCGTCTAGCCAGTTCAAGGCCGATAGGTTTCAAGAATATCCCGTGTGACTTAGACCTGAATGGGGCCAAGTACAATATATTGGCCCCAAGCGATATATCAATACAATATAGTAATATTATCGGGCCAAAATTTAACATCTGTAAGAAAAAAGACACTTAATTATAATTACTACAAATCAGACAAGATAACAACGATATTTCTTTCTTGATAAGGTTGGGAGTTGCTCTGAGAATCTGAGGAATGAGACAAAAGAAAAGGCTTAGTATTTCTATTTCATTCTTTTAAATTTTTTTAACTGATTTTAGTAGAATCACTTACTTATTGCTTCTTTCTTCTGTTGTAACAATTTGTGTATGCAGTCTACAAATCGGTATTTGTAATAAAAAAGGTAGCTACTTACTTGAACAACCATTATATTAAGCAAGTAAAAAACTACAGATTTTACGTCTAATTAAAAAATATACACACGTGTAAGTGAAGTATTACACTAGTTGTTATACAAAAAAAAATTAAAAGCTTTATGAATAAATTGCATCTCACCATTATTAAAAAAGATAATACACGATCAGTAATCAATTGATTAGAACAAATTGTATTACAACTGCCTTCTCGAAAAGAAAAATTTAAACTGAAACTTTCAGAGAAGCCGAATTGAAATTAAAATGAATTTCGCAATACCAGGAAATCCTTCGTTAATTGTCGGTTTTGAATTATGTTATATGTCTATTAGGGTCCCCTATATTGGTTTATAATAAAAAATGCCTATATATTATTTATAGGGCATTCCCAGGGCCTGCTGTGCGCTTCTTTTGCCTGACCCTTAAAGTTGATCTCTGTATTTGTATATTTTTTGTCATCAAATAAGTAATTAAAGGCACATGAACAGTATATATTTTTTAAGTCATATGTACTTTTTACTTCTAAGAATAATTAGTTGAGGAAAATAAAGAAAAGCACTCTCATAGACGTATTTTAGTAACTTCGGAACCCGGTAGAAGATAAGAATGATTAACAAATTATTTAAAGACTAAATATTTGCATAGCTGCAGTAAATCTTTACTCGAAGTCAAGGATAGAAATGTTATTTACGTCGAGGTATTTTTGCACAGCAATTCTGTACCAATGTACAACGCAATAATTATTTTTCACGATAACAATTCCAATTTCTTTAACTGTCGCTAGTAAATTATTTATAGAAAAGAATAGTTGTCAATTACTTTTAAAAATTTATTTTATTCTGCCTACGTCGATAGCATAAAAAAGTGAACAATACAACAAACGCTAAACAAAATTGTTAAAAACTTCAAGTTATATACTTTGGCATTTTTTTTAATTTTTATTTTGCTTAAAACATTCATATTATATTACCTATGTTACATTTTGCTTGAAAAAATTGAGCATCACTTTTTGCCAACCTTCTTCTAGATAAATTGAAATTAAAAATCGGTCATAAGTAAATTTAAATAATTTACGACTCCGGGCAGTTGCTGTGTTTAAGGCACGGAACGCTGTAGATGCCGATTCAAGTCCTGCCGCGTCGTAATTTTTTTCAATTCCTAATCGACTTTAAATTTATAATATCGTGTAATCAATTTTTTTTTTAATTGAACTTGTTGTCCTAGTCGAGCAGCGGCCGGCAATAGTTCCATATATCATAATTAGCGGCCAAATATAAAAATCATATTTGTCGTGTAATTTAAAAATATAGCGATCTGCTCCGCAACATCGCGACCAAAACACCGAAGATAATCAAATATTATATTTAAATTGACTTAGACATAAAAACTTTTGGTAAAAATAAATACGTTGGCTGATAAAAAAATTTGTTATTAGTTCGTAAATTGATTTCTGATTTCTGCTACTTAGTTATAATTTCGCGCATTATTAAAAAAATACTCTTACCGGCCTCTGCAGCCGCCACTAAAAATAATTTCTATACAATAAAAAGTATAGTACAGTTGTAAGTTACAACCTAGTACCAAATTCATATGAAACCTAAATCAACAACGTTTGCACAGTAAAGAACTAGAAATAGCTTGTTGTGTAGACACAAGCTGTTCCTTTAATAAAATTATCGAATATGTTTAAGCATGTGTATAGTTGAATGTGTATATTTAGAAAAATACATAATATGTATTTAAAAACGCTTTTTGCAATCACCGGCTGTACAAGCACATCTGTTAACAAGTGTTTAAATTTGTAAAAAGTATTTAATAGTATAAGATTTTAATGGCCAAAAAGCCATTGTTTAGTTTTAGCATCTGCAAAAAGATAAAGAAATTGTTATTTATATAATAATAATGTCTGTTTGTATCTGACTAACCCTTTTTAACTATAACTCTGCCTTGTTTGGAAAATCTATAATACTCAAAGGAAGTGACGATCTAGTGACAAAAAAAATTAAAAACGCATTCCATCTTGAATACACATTCAAGAAAGAATGCGTTTATCACTAATTGATACATATTTTTATGTAATTTATTTAAATTGCTTTGAAAAAATATCCTACAGTAGATAATTATACCAACAACAACCTTTTCATGTGTTACAACCAACGTCGTTAGAAATTCAATCTATACTAATCTCAAATATATAAAGCTGACGAGTTTGTTTGTGTGTTTGAACTTGAGAGAGGTTCTTATAATGTAGGTTAGGACATTTATCGAGGAAGGCTATAACACATCGCGATGTGACTAATAGAAGCGAAGAAACAGCGGAAAATGTGGAGAAACAGAGAAAATTATTCATTTTAGAGGGTTTGCAAACCGTATGCTGCGAAAACGCTTTCAAATACCCACAAGACATTTATATAAGAATTATTATCTTTAAAGAATCTAATAAAACCTTCGTGACACTTATGCCTGTTTTTTAAAATTAACTTGCAAGAACGACGGGACGCGGCTGACTTTGTGAGTAACAGACAAGACAAGGCGGAGGTTTGCAAAAACCAATTTGGATGACCAAAATAACTACTCTACGCGGACGAAGTGACACAGCTACTATACTATAGAGCTTTCGTGGCTTCTGTGCAGACATCACCGACAGAAACAATTACAATTTGTAACAAAATAGTATTTAATTTAAGCGACATCTAGGTCTTAGAGTGGTGAACTAAGTTAGGGTATCGGGTACTGTAAGCATTGAAATAAAATGATGTCAGCTTGCTGCCAGTATCTTTGAGAAACCTTGAGTGAAATAAGGTTTTTGAAGCTTTTAAATAAAAGGTATACGACACAAATCAAACATAATTTGAATGTAAATTTATTACATTTATTTTCGATTACATTCTTTATCGTAAGTAATTAATAAAGTTACATGAAACATTATCATTTAGTTTATAACTAGTTATTCACAAAAAATGAATAGTCTTTAATTTTTGATTAAAAGAAAATCTACAAAATGGACGGATTCGGTTGTCTTCTCATATTAGTCATTAACATAAAATTAGTAAAGCTACGACTTTTTACATAAAGCAACTTATAATTAAATTAATGAATGTCAAAAGAAATATTGTATATTTCTTAAACAGATATTTGTTACCTCATTATTATGGCAAATACAAGTTTTACAAAAACAAAAGACCTCGTTCGAAGTACAAATTAGATACGCACCCACTTCTTAAAGGCGATAGCATCAAATAAACGCACGAGTTTTGTTTTCATTGTAAAAAAAATAAAAACCAACTGGTTTCAATAGCATTGGGGACTAATAATCTCTTACTTTCTCTGTAACTTTATAATTACTTCTTCTACGCTCGGTATACAACGGAGTCACACCATTTCTAGGTTCGTTCTTCAGCGGTCTATCGTTCTCGTAATATTTTATTGTTGCGGGCTCTTTGTATCCCCTGCTCTTTGTTACAGAATTGACTTCCCTTGATTCGATTATCTCTTTCGAACGACCATCTCTAGATGGCACTATTTTCTTACTCACTGTTTCTACTGTATCCGTGATGCTGGGTCTGTCTGGGTCCCCTGACCTTGTAGTGTATCTGTAGGTCTCCGAGTAATTATCGCTACTGTTGCTTTCTCTTCTGTTTACCGGGGATTTCAACCTCGTTTCCAAACGTGACACGAAAGGACTGCTGTCTCTATTCAGTGAATCTGTTTTGTATATTGGTATTTTACGCTCCTCTGAAGTCCGGTCTTTGTAGTGCGGTGAAGGAGTGCCATATCTTGATGACAATCTGCTTCCATCGGACTCGTCATCCGCGTGTAAAGTTTGATACAATTCTGGCGCTCGATCACGAAGTCCCTTTAAAAATATTTTTTTCTTGTCTGTCTCGTCAAATGATTTATTATATCCATTCGTGTGCCCGTTGTTTATCGGTGCCGTTTTTCCGTAGCGAGCACCAAATAAGCCGTCGCGTCTGCGTTCTGTTTCACGTGAAACAGCATCAGCGAGATCACGTTGGCTTCGGTTTATGATAGACACAATACCAGGACTTTTGAGTTGTTCGGGGGTTTCATCTAGCCGACTCAAATGGGGATTCGACTTATACATTGTGGAATAATTTCTGCTCATGCCTGTAACGTATCTTGGATGCGTCTCTTGTTCAGGGACGCCCATAGCAAAACTCTTGCTTCTGTTGAGACTCTTGTAGGTCCGTGCTGGCTTCGCTGGAGCAGGTGGGTACGCTTTGCCTTCTGGGACGTTATTTGATATATTAATGGCACTTGTCGATCTTTTATTGTTTGTTAAACGATTCCAATATTTATTTGAACTCGGTTTTTCGTTGGGCTTCTCTTTACGCTCGTGAAGTTTTCTGGGCAGAGTCTGCGCTGAGCGGTACTCTCGTTCTCGTTCCTCCTCTGTTTCACTGTTCGGGTTCAGTCGACTGGTAGAATGACTGAACCGACCAAGCGTACTCGAGAACTGCCCTCTGAAATAGAACAAGAATAGATTATTATAAACTTTTTGTACTCTATAACTACAACCCACGTACAATCTTTGTTATCTGCCTGTATTATAAAAACATGTAATCTTGTATTTAAGCGTAATTGGATTCAATGGTGAATCTCCGCCTCCACGACTAACGATCATGCTTTGTTCATATAAGTTAACACTATACCATGTTTTTTTAGCTCTGATGATCGACATTAAAAGTAAGAATAATATATTTTGTATAATAGCATTGTTATAAAAACTCATAACTTATAACGTTCATTAAATTATTGATATATTTATTCAGTCTTAGGTACGCGATGGTCTTTTTGGGGGCCGTGTCTACGCAGATTAAGGCTTTTTGGTGGCGTAGAAAGATCTACTCTACAAAAAGGGGGGGGTTTTTTCCTTTTTTTTTGCCCCTTTGGGGGGGGGCCCCCCAACAGCAGTGGCGGGGCGGGGGCAGCGCGTCTACGTTTGTAAATAATAGCTATATTATTATTAATTAACCACAACACAGTAGTTCATCGAACATACAAACTTTCACATTTATAATATTAGTAGGATTGGACATTATGTCCTTGTAATGAAATAAGATTTATACGTTGTGGAACTTCCACCAACACCAAGCTTGATTTGTCTCCTGACACATTTGTTTGGAACATTTACTTTAAATGTTCCAAATACAAAAATAACAAACCCTACCCAGAAAGTACCTGCAAACACATAGATCGATAAACAAGGAAGCGTTACCTATTTGCTCTACGCAATGTTAATTAATTAACATTAAGCATGACGCCTAAACCTGCACCTGTTGAGGACATATTCTTACAATGAGTCATTATTGAGTACCAATTAATCTTGCATTTCAGAGAACACGGTTGACTCAACGATTATAGACTAAATAAGGGCTGTTTTGCCGTGGAACCACTTATTTACCCTTACTAGGCAACGCTCATGGACGACGGCAGATTTTAATGGCGAGATATGCCGGAAAGCATTGACGTGACTTGATTGAAATAAGCAGACACATCGGTTGAAATAAAGCCTTATTAAGACGCAATTATCGTAATTAGATTACCGATGAAGGAATTTGTTATTTGACATGATGAGAAATGTAATGTTATTGCAGAAGAGTCTAGGTCTAAAACAAGAAATATAACTTGTTTATTTTGTTTTAAAAGACAATATTGTCATACGTCATATTCTTGTTGCTATTTTTAATTTATTTTGATTTATTATATGCACTAAATATTAGATAGAAATTAATCACATATGTTTTTAGCATTTTGTATAAGCTCAGTTTGTAAAAAACCCTATTAATAAATTTAAAGTTATATCACTTCGAATCAACTCCCAAATAAGAAACAGAAGCTTTCTATTTCAAATTTGGAAAAGAGATCGCATCCTTATAGAGATTTTCTACAATAATAAACATATATACTGAACGTCTTAAAATAAGGCCATTAATGTTTTCTAAAAGTTTTTGAAAGCGTGAACCTTTGTTTTGCATTTTACATTTTAATACGAAACAATATAAATAAATAAACGATACCCGAACCAGTTTCGTAAACATGTTCGATCTTTTTTTCATATAAACACCTCTCGCGCAATTCATTCGCTTTTAACTACTCCAATGATTTAAGTTATCCTAAGCTTTCTAGGAAAGGAAACTAATTGAAGATGTAACAACACGTTTAAAAGCTTGGATATTATTAAAATTCTAACATGATTTTCACATATTGACGTATATTCAGTGGTTATAAAAGGGGGTACCTTTTATAACAAGTCTAATACAAAATATATAAGAATCTCACTATGCTAGCAATGCGATGTAATGATATATTGTAACAGACACTGCAATATACTGTAGTGGTATGCAGCCACAAGGAAAATCTAATGCCGGTAATTATTCTAATGACCGAGCTTTAAGTACTCCGTTGTATCAATTTAATATTTACTGTCTACTGAGAACGATTTAACGATTCAATATTTATCTAAGTGTCTTGTAATTTTTTAAAGTTTTATATATAACTAGATGTAGGTCTAGTGTTTTTCTTGTCTTAAAGATCTATAATTATTTTGTTCCTATTTTTTTTATCTGATGAAAAATATAAGAAATAACATTTAATACTCAATTTAACGTTTAAAACTTTCGTCTCGGACCCACTTTTTGAGTGATTCAAAAAATTTAAGTGGGTCCGAGACGAGTCTGTTGTTTTATCGAAAAGTGCACACTTTATTTGTTTTATATTATGTAACATAAAAGATTCTTGTGTTATTGTGTGGCTTGTGGTAGTTTTATTTTCACTAATTCTGTTAAAATATTTTTTTAATATTTGCTATATCTTAAACGTTCAGATTTAAATCAAAAGCGCTAAAATTCTTATTCGTATTAGATAGAGATTTTTTTTTTTGGGTCGTCTCAAAAATAAAGATTTAGTTCTAATTTTTTTACATACTGACTGACTGTAGTTTACGCGAGTAGTGCACATTTAAATAAAACACGATAGGTTTTAGTTAAAATTGTTCGAAAATATTTTTTAACTACGTTTTGGATTCTTTGCAGCAGTCGTGGTCACAGCTTAGCTACTTGTATCGCGTTTTAAACCGTTTAAGTATTTTTATTTTGCATGCAAAATATTAACGTAACCTAATACTACTAGAACAGAAGTCGTTAATTAAATTTTTATGTCGATATCTGTAGTGTGGGCGCCAACATCGACTGGGACAAGATTCTATTTAAGGTGCGCATAAAATATAGGCGGGCATTGTTAATAATTAATAGATAATAATAATTTAACGCTGTTTTCCGTCTATAATAGGTAGCAAGCATAACGAACACGTTAATCTCATCATATATAAATTTGTTTATCGTGGAAGATGTCTGATGTGTGATATTTAGTGGTCCATGTGTTCAAGATTCTAATGCGTAGTATTGTCTTTGTTCTTACCTGTCACGATGGTCGCGGGTTTCTGCAACTACGGCTCGTCTAGGACTGCCGTCGTACTTGTGCTCTCGACCATAGATGCTGGGCGCGAAAGGGTCCTCTCCTAGATAATAGCGATGCGGGGGGGCGGCAGGAGGCGCCAGCTCGCCACCATATTGTTTATATGTCCGCGACGCGTGCTCCGGTGACGGCGTCCGCGAGTTACGCCATCTCGCCTTGCGTTCCGCTGATGCTGATCTTATCTTCCCCACTAGCTTCCTAATCGAATTACCGATAGCAGAACCAACTGATTTGCGAACAGGCGATGGTCTTCTATTATTATCAGCGAAGCGTGTCTTTTGATTCAGCTTTCTCTCCTCTCTGTCCCTTCGTCGGGGCGGTGTTTTGTCCCTATCTGAACTTCCACGACGTTCTCTTGGCGGCGAGTAGTCTGGTGGTGGTTCCACTGCACTGTCGTCTCTACTATCACGGGAACGACCCGAATGTCCGTTTCTTGAAGAACTTCTATAGCCACTGTCGTAACGATGATCCTCAGACCGTTTTGAATGCCTTTTCCTTTCAGGAATTACTGGTGGTGGATAGTCATCTTCAACTGATGGTTCCCGGCAGGACCTATCGGTTTCTAGTGGCCGGAATGGGGAACCACGTGGTGGGCTGTGCATAGTAGATGAGGAGACGTAGGCGGAATCGTCTCGTGAGGGCGGGTGTCGGCGACCGATCGGGGACGACCTTCCTTGAGGTGAATCGCGCTTTCCATATACGTGTCGAGGTGAAGAACCATTAAGTCTATCATTGCTGGCGTATGGCGATCGAACAGCTGGCGGTGATGGGGATGAACTTCTCGGCTCGGGCATCCTCGGTTTTGTAGATCGTCGCTGTGACCAATCCGCTACTCCCTTGAAATATCCTCCAGTCCTATTTACTTGAGGCCGTTCGTCTGACGGCGTCGAAGACTTGGTCTTCCTTAACACTCGATCTGGGTATATGGGAGGCGGTGGCACTGAAGACGTCTTCCCGTAGTATCCTTCGTCTTCCGCTTTCTTCACATAATATCCAGTTTCGGGGCGCCGTCCTATTTCTTCAGCGATAGAATCGTGGGATGACCGCGAATCGCTGCCGAAATGACTCTCTAACCATTTAGACGTTTCCTTTTTGCGCGTCTCCTCCTCGACATCAAAGTTAATTGGCTGTTTCGCGTAGTCCTTTTCGTGATCTGCAAAATAGATAGCGCGTTAGTTAACGAGATATACGTGCTCGCGCGCGGGGTCCTACCGCAAAGTGGTACTCCGGCGCACCTTACCGCACACATGTTATGGCGTAATCGTACAATCAACAAGTTTGGCAAACCGACGGAGGTCAATGCAAGATGCAAACAACTGAAGCATTTTTCTCAAGCGGTATGAGACACCGCAATTATTGACTGAATATTGATTTCTAGGTCGACAAGGTATATGGTACGAGCAATTATGTAAGTTCTGCTAACTCGTGCCTATAACACGAATGACAGCTTTATAAAACGGTTTCGTTCGATGGTAATTTATTTGGTGATTATCTTGATTTTTATTGGAATACGAGAGATATTAACTTTTCAATTTCTTTCCATGAACTTTAAGCATCCTGTCTGTCGCAATTTAATATATATTTATTACTATGATGTAGCATAAAAAAAAAGTTTTCTTTATTACTAGTTTTTTATAGTAGTTTCACTATTAACACATAACACGGTTATATGTCAAAGAAATACGTTTTCACACTTTACAATATTAACATATCTTTACCTTAAACAATAAAACACAACAGCCGAAGCATCAGACCGTTATAATTTATAAACAAGTTTTGTTTATATATTTCGCGTTTTAAACCGTTAAAGTGTTTTAAATGTATCCGCGTAAACTACAGACAGTATTTAATAATTACGTACTTACGAACAGCTGTTTCGCAGAGTTTTTAGTGCTGCATACCATGGTGTACTGAATCAAGTTAAGTTAAAACTGACCTCAACGAGCGCGTAGGCTCAATAGCCCACCATAATAGGACAACAGATGGACCCACGACTACCTACTTTTATACATAAACGTATTAATTGTACGCAAAATCTTAACAGGTTTTTGTAGGTGGAAATTGCGTCATACGAAAATCGAAAGTTTTTTTAAATAGCTTTTGTTTGATCTAAAAAAGAAAATGTGTACGAAATACAGAATACTATAGTATGAAATCCCGATTCCCCCTCGTGGGGCATTCCGCATGGGGCGAAAACATTTCTTCATTTGGGTACAGAGGCGGTCTATACTGAAAACTATAATACATCATAAATACGATTATACGCATTTTTGTGACTTATTATTTTTTAAATAACGCTTTAACTTTAATTTTTTTTACAATTTAACACTATATAAACGTGTTTAAATTAAACGCGTAAACTACGGACAGTAATTTATTAATTTTTATTGGGCCGATAAAAGACTGTCCCACATTGTCTGCTAACCATTTCTTTATTTCCCCATTTCCCCTTTGCGGAGGACATTGGGTTATTCAACTCTCACTGTGGCCCCTTCAAAGCATTCAGTTTCTTTGCAGAATCTCACCCAAGTCTGTTTCGATTGAAGTAGAGCACTCAAGTTTTGACTTTTGTTTCATTTGAGGATTTAAATATATCCTGTACAATTAATGTTCTATTATATATGTAAATTATGGTCAAACTGAAAACCTCCGGTTTTTGTTTACCATTCAAATTAAAATGTATTTTTTTACTTAGTGCGCGTCATTAATTTTATTGCTTGTATTTTAACGCAGACATAAGGGAAACAACAAATTTATTCAGTGCAAACGACTCTATTAATTTTTAATTTAATTGACGAATTTAATATCCGGTAACAACATCTTATCAATTAACGTATTATTAAGTTATAACTTAGGTACCTTTATTATTTTATTATTAATATTCTACTTAACACATACGCTTATACAACCTACATAGCTTATGACGTTTTTTATATCTGTGGTCTGATAAGGAAAAAAAGAAAAATATGTCACATACTTAGTGTAACTTAAAGTAAGGATGTTAACACGGCGATAAAATCTTTGAATCAAAAAATGTAGTATTATCGATGTAGTTGTAAAAAGCAAACAGCGTTAATTACAACCTTCACTCGATAATGGTTTTATTTATCTTACTTCGGAAACACCAGCTGTTAGACATAATACATTGTCATTATACTGTTATCAATGCCATAATTTAAATCTATCTTCTATTTATAGCTTTAATGTATACAAAGAATCATAAACAAAAAAATACTATTAAGTTTTGTTCTCAATATTATAAAAGTACGTTAAAAAAGGTATGTTGAAGAAACAGGGACTAGTTTGTTTTTCCTACACTTAGCCTAAACAAATATTATTGGAAGTAATGAAATATATAATATATTTGAAAGTACAAAAGAGATAATTACATTGTAATTAAAATGTAAATAAAACCAAAGCTGAAGGTTTTATTTAGCGCCGTCTAGTTTATACATTCTGTATTATTTAAGACGTATACGTCATAAATAAAGTCTTAATTAAACTGCCACCTGTTATATGAGTATGAAACTAATTTATATGTTATACGACATCTAGTTCATTTTCTTACCATTGAGTCGAAGGCGGCGCTGACGTCGCATTCTAACTGAAAGACTGTCCCAATCGTCATCCATGTTTGGCTGGCCTTCTCTTTCAGCTGTTGTAATAAAAAACATTTTTTTTTGTTTTAGAAAGGAATCATTATACGATTAAGTATAGGTTCTGCCTTATTGAAACATATTGGTAATTCTAGTTGATTTTCAATTAGACATCTTAGATATACAGTACATCGTATTTAATAAAACAAATCAAACCTGCCATAAAGTCTTTGGACTTAATTGTGATACATACTTCAGATAAAGTAAAAAATAAGTTATCGTTTATTATACGTATACAATAAGAAATTGATTGGTAATCGTACCCTCTTCAGTCCTAGTCCTGGACTGCAGCTGTGTCGCAACGCGAAGTCCACCCGCCATCAGATCCGTTGACCTTTCAGTTTCCACACACTTCCTTCTTTCTCTTCCTCCTGTTTCCTTGACAAAGCTTTCGTTGCTTTTTACGGAACACACCTATGACAACAAAACTTGGCAATTAGTACTGTTTAAATTATTTGAAGGAAAAGCATAATAAAAATAACTATAATCTAGCTTCTTTTGTTATATTGTACAAGTACCTATTTATATTTATTAAAAAACAAAGCAAAACCATCCCAAATTTCAATTATTCTACCATTGATATGAAGCCTACTTAGATAGTTTTAAAAATAGCTATTTTAAATTATTAAATTATTTTGTTATATTTCCATGACAATATTTCTAAAATTATAATTATATAAATGGGAGAAAGCACCCGGCTTGTGCATCGCCATCTAAAAGTGGCACCGATTTTCAGTGCCCCCGAAGGGTAAGAAATTGTAACTACAATTACTTCTTGGTATAAGTAAAGAAAAATACCTCCTCCTTATCCAGTTCTTCGTCACAGATGCGCTCCTGCTCTTTTGTGTGTCGCGTCTCTGTCAATATGGTGCCATCGGGCCGTAGAGCTCGCAACTCCTCCTATAAATAAATAAAAATGTAAATATATTTTATTGGCAAAAAGAGAGAGAGATGGCATATGAGGCTGCTAGAGGCAGAGTAGCCCAATAACAAAAAGCATAATTTTCAATAAGGAGGAAAATAAAAATGCGCAATCAACTTAGGCGAAAATGAATTTGTATTATTTGTGTAAAAATTATGTTAACAATTCTCGGTCACTGTGCTATTGTAGATTTATATGCGCATGAGATGAACACATTTTTGGGTTCGTTTCAATGATCGGTTATCCTTACAGGCAAGTTGATCAGACAGACCTGCCCGATCGAAACAAACTATTGTTTCTCATAGATTCGAACGCAGGACCTCTCGCGCTTAACGCAAGACTTGCACGTTGAACCATTTAGCTACAGAGGTGGGGTCAGCATCTTCACAAGGATATACAAATTTTTGGTTTTCAAATGAAAATTTAAACGGTGCAAAAGTAATGTAAATTGATTTAGATCACACATTTATTATAACGATTTCCATCCCGCGTGAAACTCAAGAATTCTTTAATGACATGTAAGGTGACTATGATCTAGAATGGTCGAAATAATTAAATTAATCGACTTTCGTTAACACAATGAAAGTGCAATATATCTTTTGATCTACGAGTTTGTGCTGAGATCCAACCTGTTCTCGGAATACGTTAGAAATGAAGTTTAACACAATCATGATGTGAACAATTTCCCGTTAAAAGACATTTTGTATGAGATCATAAGGTCACATGGACTTCATTCAATGTACTTATTTAGATCACAAGCTTAGTTAGCGTTGGTAGCAAAAGAAAAGTATTTTTTCTACCATCCCTAAAACAAAATACGGAAATAGTTAAAAATTAGGTACTATAGCCGGTTGTACTACATTTCAAGATATTACATTTCGCAAGATATTATATATAAGTCGCCTTCTTAAGGTAAGGTAAAAAAGTATAATATAAATCATTTTATTTTAAACCAAAAGAAAATGTTTGTAAGAAATACTTATAAGAATTAGTAAGAAATATATTATAGGTATTGTGTTACTAAATATAACACATCTAATTAAATAGTTGTCTTACGATAATACCGATCCTCTTACAATCTAACGTAATTAGTTCGTAACAAACAGAAAACATACATGAATATTATTGTAAATTATGTTGTCTCTGTGACATATCTTTAACATGTGCTTTTACTTACCGTGTCATCAGTGGTTATAGTTGTATTAAATGCGACAGTGTCTTTCACGAGCTTAGGGCCTCGAGGTACGAGGGCTAGCTGCTGTTCCGTTTGAGTCTTCAAAGCATCGCGAATATCTTCTTCTTCCGTTTCATTTACTGCTGCTATAAGTGCCTGAAACAAAGGGAAATGACCCATTAGCTTCAAAAATCTTATTTTCATAAAATCATAACTATATTTACTACTACTACTGCTATATTTAACATAAGTTCTATTTTAAATAGTTTTTATACTCTTGTGACAGTAAACAACTGTCTCTGTCAGATAATTTAAAACAATTTGTCAAATTGTATAATGGATAATCGTATTTTCTACAAAAAAGCTGCAAAGTACTGGTCTAGTATACCATCCACAATTGATGGTGTCCTCGGAGGTTTTGGATTTATAACGGATATTGACATCAAGGGATCCAAACAGTTTCTTAATGAATTATTTACGTGTGAAACCCCACCAGCACAGAACCGGGCTTTGGACTGTGGTGCTGGCATTGGCAGAGTTAGTAAAAACCTATTGTTTCCCTACTTCAATAAGGTCGATTTGGTCGAACAGGACGAGAAGTTCATTACCACAGCCAAACAATTGATCGGAGATGATTGTAAATTAGGAACACTCTACCAAATTGGCCTACAGCTCTTCAAGCCGCCATTGAAGTATGACCTTATCTGGTGCCAGTGGGTATTGGGCCATCTAAACGATTCCGATTTAATAAGCTTTTTAGAGAGATGCAAGGAAGCTCTTAATGAGAACGGTATGATAGTTATAAAAGAGAACACAACCACAACGAATGATATAGAATACGACGATGTTGATTCATCAATGACACGCCCATATAATTTGATGCTCAAAATTTTCGATGAAGCAAATTTGAAGTTGATAAAAACTGATGTACAAACTGGTTTCCCTGATGATATCTATCCAGTCCATATGTTTGCGTTGAAGGCAAAGCCAGATTAAGTGTTATAAGATTGAAATTATACTTTGACCATTAAACCTTACTAGAATTATCAAACACATTTCTTTGATATTAATATGAAGAATAATAACTACAGAATTATATTTTAACAACCTTTTAATCATATCCATCAATAGACAAGCCTCAACAATGTCATCCCAGGGCAACAATAATACTTTCTCCTACTCCTAAGCTCCTGGTTGGTACCAAGTAGTAGTCTTCTTAACTTCTAAATCTTTGTCGTGGAGTATACAAAATTGACTGTCTATATATGTATAATTCTTTTTTTTTATACAAAAATATGTGACGTATGTAGGTACGATTCAACAGATAACATTTCGCAAAGTAACGGACCAGTGAAATATACATCATATTCATAATGAAAAAGATTTATCCATGATGAAGTGTCGAATCGTGTACTGACTTCGTGATTACGAAGCTTATAAACTAGGATCTGAGACGTGCTCCAGCAACCACAGCCAAGTGCATTCACCGTTTTACTGATTATGAAATTCAACTCAAGTCGGGTACAAGGTTTTGTGGCATTTAATTCAATTCTTATAACGACTGTTTGTATTTCTAATACTATACTACGAATATTGAAATAAATACACATGTATTTAATAACATTAAAAACATTATTTTACCGTAATGCCTCTATAATTGTATCCAAAATGTCAAGTTTACAATTTCGTAAGGCAATTTATAGGCAAGTGGCAAGTATTTTTGTAATAGCAAATCGAATTAACTCGCTAAATGCTTGCATATATTTACATATGCTTACACAATTCAGAGTTAAATATTGCTTAAGTGGAACCCCTAACTGTTTTAAAGGTCAATTTTACTAACGGCCAAGGAGTTAATCAAAACTTTGGTGCCATAACAAACTTATTTATTGTTTATATTATATATAGGATCTCTCGCTCTAAACACAATGCAATTACCATTAAACCATGAGGGGAAAGGAAGAAGTAAAAACGAAAGAATGTAATCAAATTACAATAAAAGCAACCTATCGATATGTCATTACTTCAGCCTCCAAAATGTGTAAGTACGAAAATTTTCGTAATATCCGCTAATCACAAGTAAGACTTACGTACGAAAACGCCAATAGTAACATTGCTTTCGAAATCCTAAGCCTTTGTTTTATTACAGTGTTTCCAAAACCACAAACATTTGTAATATTAACACGACAATAAATTCTAGTTTTAGCTTCTATTGTAACTTAGAAAGCCGCGGTGTGTAAGTTAACGTGAGACTTCATGACTTGAATGTTTTTGTAATAATTTGTGAAGTTATCTAAAAAATGTATTTCTCCCGTAACTAACTTTTAAGATGTTTCGCTATAATTCAAACGCGGAACGTGTATAAGTAAGTTAGGAAAAATGTTAAACAATTTACAATTAGAGGTGATCGACAAGAATCAATCTTTTGTGTGGCAGGATTGCTTAGCAGCAAGGCATGGTTGTTGAAATTTTCAACCAATGCCCATAAGTCATTTGTAAAATATTGTTTAATTGTGATAGTGTTTATCGCTTAATTATGGATAACAATCATTGTAAATAGATGCAAGTACAAAATTCACAATTCTGTCTGACATGTTGGGCGAAGTAAAAGTATTCGCAAGTGTAGTTTCAACCGGTTGTTTGTTCACTGTGACCGGCGCGCGCGCATATTTTGTCCAATTCTGAGGAATGTGGCCACGAAAACGAAACTCTCGAAAGAAATTACTAGCGTGAGACATGGAAGTAACTGATTTGTTTATTATCCTAACAATCATGAAGGAAATTCGTGATTCTGTATTCAAATTTTTTTCTTTCATGACTGACACTGACGTTTTGAAACGTCTAAATTTTGACACAGTTTAAACCCTATAAAATTGACATATCTGTGAGGTTTGTATATCATTAACATTTTTTCATTGAACTGCTCTAGAGTTTCGCTTTACTTGTCAAATAGTCATAGGAAAAGACCTTATGAGTTGATAATGATAAAGATTGACTTCGATTAACAGAAGATTGTAAAACTAAGACGATCATATCAAAGTCAAATTAAATTATTGGTCACACATAAAAAAGATAGGAAATTTTAAAAAACAATAGTATAATTGCGTTAACTTGTGTGGACACCGCTATTGTTTGTTAGTGTTTGATAGTTTTTCAGTAATAACACCAGTCGTGATAGAAGAAGAGAAAAGACAATTGGAATGAGTAACTATCACTCCTCAGCATCATTTGTAACTCTAATGATACAATTTCGAAAGCAGTCAACCTATCGAAGGTTCATTTTGATTCCATTAAAGATCCCACATTATAGCATATTGCGAAATTATTTTAACAAATGCCCGCTATTTAGTTTCATTGTAAAGGGAGTGTTATATTAATGGGAGGTATCGTTTATCTAACAAGCTAGCCCACGCACATGGTCGAATCTAAAGACCTCCGAACACACAGATTTCTGTATAATCTACAGCAGTTCGTTGCAAATAACCTCTTGCAATAATACCGTGTCTGGGGTGGACATTATCTAAATTTCATTCATATTGCCGTAGTTACGAATACCGTAATCTCGTTAATCTATTCCATCCTATAAGGTCTACCGTGTCTCACATTAATTACGTCCGTTTGTTGAGGTAAATTTCATGGATCTCGTTAAACCATGCTAACCAATGTTCCTTTCTCTATGAGATTAAAAATGGACTCGCGCACTAAGTTTGGGACTTCGCAACTCAAAACTCTAATTGTTTCTACTAAAATGTATTACTAAGTAGAGTTATGACTTCGGGTTTCATCTAAGCGTGGCCCGGACATTACCTTTTTTTATATAATTTATTATTTTTGATGAATGAGTAATAGGTGAATCTAAGAGTCTCGTACTTAATCTATAACATCGCTCCATGAATTAGAAAATACGTATGAATTATTTAGTCAAAATGACAAATTGTGTGTGTAATAAACATTAGATAAAAGCTTAACGATATCTAAATTTTACTTTATTTTTCTATATATTATATTATACAGTTCAAACTATTATATATAGTTCGAAGTAAATTAACTTATATATTTCGCCTTTTTAAACCGTTTCAAGTATTTTGTTTAAAATGCAAGATGTTATCAACAATCGAGCTACCGTTTCAATTGGTTAGAGCAACAGCACGAAAAGCTGTGGATGCCGTTTCAAGTCTCGTCCGTGTCGAGTTTTTTAATTTTTTAATCGATTTTTAATTTATATAGTGCCATCATGCGCAATAACATGTGAAAAATATCAAAGTTTTTAAAAGAATCACTAATTACGCACATAACTAACGCCAATTGAGTTAAAATGGAGACTTATTTATAGCGAACGCTAATTTTCAATTAATATCTTCGTCTTGCCGCACTTATCGTAAGAATCAGTGTCACAGGCTTTCTAGTGACATCTCCAAGCTTCAGATGGCGCGATAATGCAACTGGAAATTTCTCGTTGAACATTCTCTGTGAATATGTGATGTTAACGAGATTTCGAATCTGTGGACTTTAATTGCATTATCAAAACATCTGCGTGTTCTCGCCAACGTTTTTTTTAATGCGATTTTTTTTATATCGTTATAGAAATTAATATTTAACTATAGCGTCATGACTTTTAAGGTAAATGATGTATATCGTAATAAAAATAATTAGGATTCTTGTTTTGGAAAGTTTATTTACAGATATTATATGCATATAATGTATATATATATATACATATAAATGTATGTATATACATATATTCTTTAAATATCAACACTACGAATGTTTAATGGTTCACTTACTGTCCTATTGAAATGATATAAATATTTTTTATAGGTACTATAATGTAAAGCAAAATTCCTTAAAGGGTAGCCTCGTCGGTTCCGTTGTACGGCGAGACAAAATTGAACAATCTCCATGCAACGACCGACCTTCAAGTACACGTTACACCACGGCAGGTTGATTTCGATAGTTGATACTAGGCTTGGCAGTCGATAATATTAGATCTAGGCCCGGGGCGTTATTTCGCAATTCCATATTAATAATAAGAAGCGAGCGCTTGGTTAGTACAACTAATTTCTTTTGTGCATATTTTGATACACAGTATTCTGTATAACAGGCACGGTTCAGTATTGGCTATGGTTTACGCGAGTAGTACACAATAAAATACCTCAATTATAACGGTATGAAACGCTAGATTCTTTTTTTAGTTCAATTACTGTGTTTATCTGTAGTTTACGCGAGTAGCACAGATCTAAATATAAATACTTTTAACGCGTAATATATTAGGTAACTTACTGTATCTTCTGTAGATCACGTGCATAGTACACATATAAGTAAAACAATTTACGGTTTAAAATATATTCATTTGCTTATTTATTTTCCGATGCTTTACCGTAGCGTAGTTTTTCTCACAGGTTAATTTAACGAACATAATATTGCCTTTTTTTAAATCGTTAAATTGTTTTTACTTTATTTCATCTCCGACCCGATGTATCCCCCCGTGACCACGTCTATTATAAACATCCGAAACATCGGGTTTACAATAGTTATAGCTTTGTTCCGTCGGGAATCAACCACAACCTTCTCATATGATAAAAGCACATCCCCTCTCGGTGTAACGTCGTTAATTCTAACGCTTTCGTTACTTAATTAATGGCGTGGACAAGAGATTAATCTTAACACTTCAGCATCCGTAACTTACCTTACCGGTTATTACCTTTAAAGCCATATGGGTGGTCATGAATGCGACAAGCGGATAACTACGAATAAATAAAAGTAGTATAATGTGATTCGTATAAATTTGTTTGTTTCAGCAACCTCTTTACTATTAATGAATATGTTAAATCAATCAAATGATCTTCTTTAAAAAACACCATTTTAAGTTTGACACGTTAAAACTGCCATATTTGTCTCCATTTTGACATTACGTCAGGCATATGTCAAAATGGAGAATTGGCGGGAAATTTAAATTTCTTTACATGCTGTCGAAATGCTGTTTGCTCAATGTATAA